CCTTGTGCCTTTTATTTCTTTCTTTTAAACCTAGTTCAGTAGCGAAGAAGGTAATATTTTTGGTGGCGTTCGTGTCTGCATGTCAAGACGATGACACGATAAGAATGAATGAAGACCTTTATTGTACATTTGTGTTCTACAGAACTAAGTACAGGTCGCATGGGTACAGAACATGAACATAAACATATATACATTACATACATATGAACATATAAGAGTGTAAATAAATGTCTAATTTCTATTCTTTTCGGCTTCATCTCGCTTAGAAGTGATTGTATGGATATATGCGGCTGTGAGATTACTTAGAGTAGGTTTATCAAAAGTTAAAAGGAATACAAATTTCTCTTTACTAGTCAAATATCTGAAGTGGGGAAATATACTTAATACATGGCTAAAAAATATGAGTCTATAATAAGATAAGACTCGGGTGGATTTTCTTCATTGGACCTCGAGATAATTAGATTTTGGGGTCTCCTGTCGGCACCTGACATTCCGTTTTTTTATTTCCTGATCTGGACATGCTAGGGTCACTATTTTTTATTCATTTGGTAGATACCTGTTGTGCTCAGAAAGTGACGTGGGTCTGGACCCCCTTACAATAATATATCTACCTTTACGTCCTTTAATGCGTACAAAGAAAAATAAAGCAGAAATTATCCGAATCCAGGTTGAAACAATCGGTGACGCCTACATGGTTGTTTCCGGTCTGCCTGTCCGGAACGGAACCTGTCACGTGAGGGAGATAGCCCGGATGTCGCTGGCCTTGCTTCGGGAGGTCCGGAACTTCCGGGTCCGACACAGGAACAACTGCAGGATGAAGCTCCGGATCGGGATCCATACAGGTACGGACTGGTATCAATGACCTGGAACCGTCTGTCACCATGGTAACTGTAGCTGTAGCAGACACTCTGTGGTGTTGGGTTACACTTTGTAGCAGGAGAGGTCTCCATATATTATATATACATGTATATGAATATATTTGAGTAAGAATGCACAGAGCAGTAGTTTGTTATACAGAGGTCACATTTCCAAGCCAGGGCCCGGTCGGGCCGTTTGCATAAGCGAAAAATTAACAATTCATAACAAGAATACACAAATATCACTCATGATAAGTTTCTAAAACGTTCTTTTTTGTTTTCTTCTCTTTTATGTCGTACTTTACAATACTTTTCGTTCCCGAAAGATGCCCGGACGAGCCCCGGTTTGGAAATATGACATCAGCATTAGGGTAGACAATATCATATCTACCTTTCCTAGGTATTACCAGTGCAGTATGTTTCTGTTAATGTCTGTGATACAGGCCCTTGTGCGGCCGGAGTGGTCGGGTTGAAGATGCCCAGATACTGCCTGTTCGGCGACACAGTCAACACGGCATCACGGATGGAGTCGTACGGAGAAGGTAGATACTTTTGTTCCCTTTACTAAGCAACGACATGTCAGGAGAGTATGTTTTGCCGAAACGTCTTTGTTCATGCAGAGGCGCTACGCCCCCTGGAGTAATCTCCAAGCAGATCTTTTAGTGGGGTTAAGACAGTATCAAATTGGCCAGTCTGTAACCATTTCTGGCCAATTTGATACTGTCTTACCCCCACCAAAAGATCTGCTTGCAGGTTACCCTGGAAAGGCATGCAGAGCTGAGTGAGTGAGAGTGAGTCTTTGTTCATTGAATCGATATCATGCATATCGCGTTTTAAAACTATCTACAAGTATATATAGATTTAATGGGTTTAATGGGTTAGAATCAATCCTATTCCATAATATTGGCGCCTGTGTAGTGTAGTGGATATAGCGTCCGACTGTCAAGCAAGGAGACCCAGGTTCAATCCCCAGGGTTGGACCCAGACATGTCCAGACATGCACCCAGACGTTGTGCCCTTGGGAAAGGCACTTTACACATATTTCCCCCCTCAGTTAGAGGGATCCTGGGCCCTACTAGGGTTTGGGTTGGCGTTAGGAAGGACATCCAGTCGTAAAAATCTTGCTTCAAAAAAAGACTTGCATTTGATGCAAGCACGTCTAACCCCCGTTTCGGGGGAAAATGACGTTAACATTGGAACAGTATTACTTATATCTGTGAGGCAAAAATGCGATGTCACTGACGGATACAGTTTGCTTATTTTGTATAGTAGGCTGCTTCTAACTATTAACGGGCGGTACCCTAAAACAAAGAGACGGCTTCCGTAAATACTTTCATCAGGTTGGTAAACGAATGAATAGCAAAGTTCTTTGATCACAACCATTCATTTTTACGAGCAGACGTTTCGATGACCGTCTGTCATCTTCATCAGGGCAATTCTGAATTGCTCAAAATTGCCCTGATGAAGATGACAGACGGTCATCGAAACGTCTGCTCGTAAAAATAAATGGTTGTGATCAAAGAACTTTGCTATTCAAAGAGATGGCTTGTTTTTTATGCTCTTTCATATGCCTCAAGTATGAAATGAAGACGAAGATGTGCTAAGTAATGACGCTAAATGTCAATATCAGACAGATTTCCTCATCGAGGCTATTTTTAGCCACCGAGAAATTGTATTCGATGCATTCAACACCTTTTTATGAGATTTCTTGTTTTGTCATACAATCAATTTTTTATTATTTTAATTTATTGATATTAAAAACGGTTAGGTGGTACCTTCAGTTTAGGACAACTGATTTCCAAGGTAGCCCAACATAAGACAGATGCAGAATAAGTTACAAAGGACATACATGTAGACAATCAGTTGCTTAAACATAGAGATAATAAATAATATGAACAAAGAGTAAAAGTAGTCAATGATTGGAAACAGGACATGTCAACCAAAACAAATAGTCAAAATCATAAGGCATAATCATAGTCCGTGTCATTCCAGTCAAACGATAAGTCAGTCCATGAGGTCAGGGGTTCAATCAATGCCTTTATTTCAGCCATGAAGATCCACGTGTCTGCTCCGTCTAAGAACCTGCTGGACAGCTTCGGCACCTTCCAGCTGGAGGAACGCGGGGAGACGCAGATTAAGGTAAGCAGACACACCTGTAATGTTATTCTTTAAATAACTTGTATTCGTCTCTGTTAGGCCACATCAAGTAATTTTTATGGATGACATCAGCGCGCGCATTAATTTTCGCCCGATTTTGGAAAAAAAAAGAAACTTTGTTGCCTTCTGACAGTGGTCAACATGCCAAAAATGGGCAAAGATGTCTGCTGCCATGCCGGAACGTGGATGGCAGATAACTATGAAGAGAGGAGACAAGAAAAGGCTCTGATTTAATGTTTTGTTTCTTACTTTGATGAAGTGATATGTGATGCTGGCTGTGTATATGTGATGATCCCACCGAATAAAAACCATTTGTACAATGATTGAGTCAAAATTCTAAAATGTAGAAACCTTGTTTTTTCGGCCCTCCTTGTTTTGTTTTCGCCCGCTCGCATTAGATTTGGAGTCTGCGGAGGATGTCATCCATAAAATTTACTTGCTGTGGCCTTAGTTATATTTTCTTTCGTTTTGTGGTGAGGCTAAGATTAGCAGCCGCTAGAGTTGTCCCTCTCTTTACCTTGTACCTTTTTCTGTTGAGCAATAAATAAATAAAAAGATAATAATTATCAAACACTACGTGCATGTAAAAACTAGATATTTCGTACTGTTGTTGTGGCTCCAATGACTGTTGTTTCTCACATTATAGGGCAAAGGCATGATGCGCACCTACTGGCTACTGGGGGAGAAGGACCCACCAAAACCGATAGGGGTCCTCATTAACTGTTGATGAAAGCAGCCTGATGACCTGATATGACGAAGATCATTATCCAAGAAGGTCTGCACAACTCAAACACATATCTCCGATGGAAACTTGAGATTCCCAGTTTGTTGATCTAAGCTGAACGGTTTTGATGGACGTTCATGAAGTCTAGTATCGTTGCCTGAAGAAATGGTTCGACGTTTGCTACGTTTATTGTAAGTTCATATTGTCCAGTGCCAATTGTATTAAAAGTGCTAGTGGGATCGGTTGCCTAATTGATTATCAGGCTAAGATCATATAACCAAACAATTGTATACACAAGTATTTTTATCTGATAAAAAATCAGAAGGAATTTATTGAAGGCATTCAATGCAGTTTCGGTACGGCAAAACTGAGTATTTAGTCAAATTTCTTGTCACTCTTTTAATGTAGTAAGTTGTGATCAGGCCTATCCCATGGTATACTGATGTTTGTGAGGTAAAATACAATGTTATTGACGGAGAACGGTTGCCTGTTTTGTATCGTAGGTTGGTTCAAGCTATTTATGGGCGGTACCCAATTCCTCATACATAGAGCTTGTTTGGACTATGCAAACGTTTCACGTATAAAATGATGACGAACAAGTGCTAAGAAATGGCAGTAATTGTCTAGTCTTCACCAGACTCCTTTTGCAGGCTGAATAAATCGTAGAAATCGGCCTAAAAAGGGGATATAATTGTCCAGTTCTCACAGATTCCGTGCAGTTTCTTACCGCCCGCGTTCAGATCTCGCGCGCTCGCGCCGAATCGTGCTCTCGCGAGAGCGGATTTCAAAATGGCGCCGGTATTTGGAAAGGGGTCTATTGGACCCTCTATGGCCGGGAAACTCATCTGGCCAATTATATCCCCCTTTTTAGGCCGATTTCTACGATTTATTCATCCTGCAAAAGGAGTCTTGTGGAGACTAGTAAATGCCAGTATCAGACAAATTTCCTCATGAAACTGCATGGAATTCATTCAGAAAAGAACGAATGGCTGAGATTGGAAAGAATGAAGGACTTATTTGTGAAAGACTATACTAGTATCCAGTTCACAACAGAATTCAGTCACACCACCTGATAATTACTACTCTGAGATGATAGACAATTGAACAGACTGCCTGGGAGCTCTCTTCGAGTGGTAAAACCGGCTGCTTCATCGTTGGGACAATGGGACAAGATAATTAGGATGAGGAACTGTTTTTTACACCTAACTTGTTCAATGGAGCAACTCATGACCATCGAAAGCACACATGACAAAGGCAACACCACACACACACACACACACACACCAATCTCGTATGGTTGTTCATCGTTGTCGATGAAGACTTCAACGTGCATCCTTCGTCTCATCTGTTGTGCACTCGCATATCTGGCTTAGGAGTCCAATTCTGGATCTGTAGGGTCGTCCACAGTGCTCACAGCTGAACTGGAGCTAGCTCTGCTGCCTAGTCACTTCTTGCTGCCGCTGCTTTTCGTCTGTGTCAAGCCTCTACAGTGTAGCCCTACAATAGATATATCATTATGTAAAATGACAGATCATCTTTTTGTAGGTCGAAGCAACCTTTTGGCCCGAGTTCGATGACCGGATACTGAACCCTTTGAGTGTCTTTTGAGTACCTTAAGGGGGTATGGCTAGTATGTGACATTTAGCGGCAAAAGATGAACTGGAATATTTTACTTGAAAAAAAATCCATGTGATTGTAATTTAGTTCCTCTTTTCATTCAACATATTTGTGAAATTATCTCACATTTCTGACATTTGAGTCAAATTTGACCTAGCCAATTTCTAACATTCATGATTGGCGCAAAACGCTAACGTGGTTGGGACAGGTTGTCTGCGGGGCTCAAATTGTTTTTCCCTGCCCAGCTCAACTGACCGCCCGGTGGAAGCGTCACGCATGTAGGAGCTTTGCTAATAGAGTTTTGTACGATAGGAGTTGATTAGCCCCATCGCAATCGTGGTGGGCTAATTGAACTCCCGTCGTGCAAAACCTACTGGTGATGCTGGTTGAGTCAGGCGGCGAAGAGGTCCTGCAGCCCCGAAGAGAAACCCACCGCAACCACGGTAGACTGAGAACTAGCGTCACGGGTGACTGCGTTTATAAAGTTTCTTACTGATTAGATTTTGAAAATTAGATACGGAAGAAAGATTTACAAATTGTCAAACATGATACACTATAGTTTATTTGGAGATCGAAAATTTGACAATAAGTGTGGCCACAAAGTACATGTATATATACACTTCTCTACGTTAATTTTTCTAATAGTTTATACATCTGTATTGAGAAACAATTTTATGGGTAGACAAATTCGTGAATGGAAAGAAATCTATCTTGCCAAGAAAATTGTGTTGTGTTCAACAAACGAATATCCAGCAAAATGAAATAAGCATAATATTAAGCGGACATATTCTGCCATTGCCAGTGAGCATCTATGACTATGTAAACCGGGGACCACAAAAATACATGTACATTTTGTACTGCTATATGGTATACAAGTACAATGTACTATTCTATCGTAGTATTGTCTGGCGTATGTGTAGATTCACGGACAATCATGTATTTCTGTATGTTCATCTGTTGATAAATTTTTATGCTAATGTTACTAATGGGTGTCTATTTGATATATACATATGCTGATTTGATTGTCGAAATGTATGAAATGAAACGTGGTGTAAAATTTTCCTCCGGAAAACTTATATAGAAATCCATGACAATATTGCTACTAATAAACGATAATTGTTTACGACTTGAAGTGCCAGGTCATTTGCTTCAAGCACCTGTCACACATTCAGAACCGTTCCCCGAACACCAGCCGACGTTGCACCGATCTAGTCCTAACCATGGTTGGGGGAGTTCGGCTTGCGTTCGGGAGGCCATATTTAGTGAATATGTGACAGTGGGCTTCAGTCAACGTTACTTACAAACTAAGCGAGGGGGAAGATATGCCACAGCAAAAGAACACAGTATTACATACGTTTCTTTTCTGAACATTTCCATCCGTCCTATCCAAGAGGACGTCCCTAACCGAAGCTACGTACGTACTCATTTCTACCTGAATCGAGTGGGGTAATAGGTGTAAATTACATTTCCCAAGAACAAAACCGAATGGGGCGTGCCAGGGATTTGAACCCAGAACCTTCGGATTCTGAGTCAACAACCCTAACCACAAGACCGACCGCCTTGCCACCTGGCAACATACTTTCTCACTTATAAGTTCGGGCTATTTCTCTTTTTTCCCCCATTCGACTTTTTACCATACAAGGGGCACAGGTGGCAGCCACTTTGCACGTGCAAATACCGAGGGTGAAACTATTCGCCAGAGGCTATATGGAGGGAGGGGGCGTGGTGACATTTCTCAGCTCTTTCTCTCCAGAACCAGAAAGCGTAACACGACAATAGGGTTTTTGAGAAGACTGACAACACAACTTCGATATCAGACAACGGAGAAGTTCTCTGGGGAATGGCTTCGTACGTCACACATCCTCGAGGGATAACTGAATAGGAACTAAACACCTGTCAATATAGAAAAGAAATCCAGCCATTTCTTGTGGATCTTTACCGTGCTCGATCAAGCATGGGACCTACAGCTTTGCACCCTATCCAAGAGATCGTCCCTAACCGAAGCCACGTACTCATTTACACCTCAATCAAGTGGACGCAACAAGAGCACAACCGTGCCAGGGATTCGAACCCAGAACCTTCCGATTCTGAGTCAACAACCCTAACCACAACACCACCTTTCGTAACACGACAATAGGATTTTTGAGAAGACGGATTAAAAAACTTCGTTATCAGACAACGAAGAAGCTCTCTGGGGAATGGCTTCTTACGTCACACATCCTCGAGGGAAAAGAAAATAAGACCTGGACACCTGTCAATATAAAAGGGAAATCCAGATATTTTTTGTGGATCTTTAACGTGCTCGATCAAGCATGGGACCTCCAGCTTTACGTCCTATTTAAGAGAACGTCCCTAACCGAAGCTACGTACTCATTTACACCTCAATCAAGTGAGGTAATGGACACAACAAGAACACAACCGTGCCAGGGATTCGAACCCAGAACCTTCGGATTTTGAGTCCACAATCCTAACCACAACACCACCTTTCGTAACACGACAATAGGATTTTTGAGAAGACGGATTACAAAACTTCGTTATCAGACAACGAAGAAGTTCTCTGGGGAATGGCTTCTTACTTCACAAACTCTCGAGGGAAAAAAGAATAAGAACTGGACACCTGTCAATATAAGAGGGAAATCCAGCCATTTTTTGTGGATCTTTAACGTGCTCGATCAAACATGGGACCTCCAGCTTTACCTCCTATCCAAGAGAACGTCCCTAACCGAAGCTACGTACTCATTCACACCTGAATCAAGTGAGGTAATGGACACAACAAGAAGACAACCGTGCCAGGGATTCGAACCCAGAACCTTCCGATCCTAATCACAGCACCGCCTTTTGTAACACGACAATAGGATTTTTGAGAATGCTGATCACACACTTCGTTATCAGACAACGGAGAAGTTCTCTGGGGAATGGCTTCTTACGTCACACATCCTCGAGGGAAAAGAGAATAAGAACTGAACACCTGTCAACATAAAAGGGAAATCCAGCCATTTCTTGTGGATCTTTAACGTGCTCGATCAAGCACGGGACTTTCAACTTTACGCCCTATCCAAGAGAACGTCCCTAACCGAAACTACGTACTCATCCACACCTCAATCAAGTGAGGTAATGGACACAACAAGAACACAACCGTGCCAGGGATTCGAACCCAGAACGTTAACCTTCGGATTTTGAGTCCACAACCCTAACCACAACACCACCTTTCGTAACACGACAATAGGATTTTTGAGAATGCTGATCACACACTTTGTTATCAGACAACGAAGAAGTTCTCTGGGGAATGGTCACACACCCTCGAGGGTAGAAAAATAAGAACTGAACACCTGTCAACATAAGAAGAAATCCAGCAATTTCTTGTGAATGTGGACGCGCTTGCAATATCACTATCAGTCACCATTGTACTTATTGTTTGTTTTGGGTCCCCTTAGACTTGAATGCCTCCGTGAACGTGTTGACAGAGATACACGTAGACTCGTCCTGTGAATTATATGATTGGACACATTCCTCTGGCCAATCCATCAAATAGACAAGGAAGGGGTTATAACTTAAGCCCCTGTCACACACAGCCAATTATGGCCTCCCGAACGCTAGCCGAACTTCCCACAACCATGATAGTTGGTAGTAGGTCGGGAGCAAGGTCGGCTGGTGTACCGCATGGTCGACAACTGTTCGGCTGGACAAGCCAAAAGTTTTAAAACGTTTGAAACATTTGGGTGTGGAGGGAGGTTCGGCCATGGTTGGCTTGTGGTTGGCAGGTGTTCGGGAGTCGGTGCTAGGTTCGGGGCGTGGTTCGCAGTCAAATTTGGCCTTATGGCGGAGAAAATTATTCTTTCCTTCTCATCTGTAAAAAAGTAGTTGGCCGTTTCTCTGTTGATGCCATGTGTATTTGAACGTATGTGCCGTAACGAAATAATTTGTCAAGAAATATTTAAGTATTTACATTAGCTGCTTTTTTATTATGATTAAGTGTTGATAAAAGGTTATATATATAATATGTATCTAAGATAGTTTGGATACCTTCACAACAATCATGCCATGTATAAATATTGGGATGACAGAGCGCCTTTAAGCCCCTGTCACACATTCAGATCAGAACCTTTCGCTAAACACAACCAGACCAAGGTTGGCTTAGTTTGGGAGCAGTCTGATAAGATTTAGGCCACACCTACCTTCTGTGGGAATCGAGTCAAATTTGATTTGAATTTGAGTCAAGTTCTACCCCCAGATGACATCCCGGTCTAGTACTCCCGAACACCAGCCAACCACCAGCCAACCATGGCCGAACCTCCCGTGACCCGTCCATACCTGAATGTTTCTAACATTTTGAAACAGTCGGCTGGTGCCGACCTACTCCCGACCTACTCCTAACCATGGTTGTGGGGAGTTCGGGAGGTCATATTCGGTTATGTGTGACTGTGACATAGACACAATTTCCGACATTGTTTACTGGAGGAAGACTATATTTCATTGTCACCGAGGTCAGGCAAGGACAAGAGCATAGACGCAATTCCGACCATACTGGAGGTCAACAGGAAGACAATATTTCATTGTCACCGAGTTCAGGTGAGGACAACTGAATGTCGATCCGTATCTATATCTGAACAGCCGGTACAACTACATGCGTACATGTACTAATATCCTTCCGTGTACAACATTAATTCATGATACATTGTTTAAAATTTTTCAAGGAAACTAAATTTGACCAGATCATGCCGTACAGCCTTTACCAAATCTCGCTTGCATGTACATAGCCATATTATTACCCGTAGCATGGAATGTGGGAAAGGAATGTAAAATCGTCGAATTTCTATGCGTTTGAGTCAAATATCTCTTCGCACGTCTCCTAGAGACTACGAGTGGACAAAATCAGAATACACGTTGATGAAGGTTATTATATATATATAATAATAACAAGCTCCTGTTACACTTCTAAACAGGACCTATGCGGCTCCAGATGTCTTACTGAGGGACGACTGCGTGTGCGAGATGTCGGTTAGCTTGAGGAATGAATCCCCTCTACTATATAAGGTCCTGTCACACAGTCACGATTTGGGCCTCCCGAATACTAGCCGAACGTTACTCAACCATCATAGTAGGTAGAGAGAAAGGTTGGCTGCCGTTCGGCCATGTCGGCTACTGTTGAATGTTTAACATGTTTAAAACATTCGGGTGTGGACCGGAGGTTCGGTCATGGTTGGCTGGTGTTCGGGAGTTGGTTGGGACGTGGTTGGCATTCAAATTTGACTCAAATTTATATCAAGTTTGATTTTACAGCTTCTGAATGTGTGACAAGGGCTTTAGATGAACCAAACGTCTCTCTAGCTGCTGTGTTCAGCATTCTGTGCAATCGCTGGTGACACAGATTTTAAGTTCGCTCCTCTCACCCAAAATATCTATCATATCGTGCAATCCGTTCATTTATTTGATAGAAATTGCAGTTTATTGTTTGGAACTTGACCTAGAGCAGCATGATTGTTTCTCAGTTTCCCTTAGCTGTTAGTAACGCTACCGTAGACTGTCATGTTGTCTGCCGGTATTGACAGAGTGTTATCAGTAGCTTCCATCTTGCGAGGGTACAACACGTGTGCCATGGCCTGAGGGCCGGCGGAACCCCCCAAATCCCACAGGTAGTTTTCTTAACGTTTGGGGGCCTATTGTCGACTACTGAAGGATTGAAAACGCTGACTCTGTATCTGCTTTCAAGTGCCTCCTCCATCGTAAGTGGTCAGACCGGTAGAGCAAGTTCCTCTCCAATCACAGAATGGTCCCCTGACAGACAACATGGAATTCCGCACGTCCTATAGGAATGGGGCGAGGCTAAGTGGATATTACGGGTTAGTGACAGGCATATATTACCTCCGTTGTCTTGTCAAGTCGCGCCAACTCTGTAAGCCAATCAGAGTGCCCAATGGAAAGACGAAGACACAATCAGCCAATGTGACGAAGAGTTCTATTGGTTTGTAGGAATTAAAGGATGGAGGTAGGGTGAAAGGTGTTGTCGCCACCGCGTCACTTGGTGTTAGGGAGCTGTCAGCTCTGCACACTTTGCTGTTCTCGTCCGTGCCGGTAAGCCGCGGCTCTCTTCGTTCCTCCAGCCTTTCCTAACTGGTGCTGTAGTTTTTTTTCCCAACCGATAATGCCGACCTACTACACACAGTCGAGCACCCGGCGCGGTGTGAGCTCGGGGTCGTCCCGGCGGAGCTGGGGTATCGGCAGCGGCTCCGGCGCGCTGGTGCCGGTGGGCGGGGGCAGGTCGTCCTCGTCTCAGGTCACCACCATGAAGAGTGCCGGTGGCGTCGGGGCCGCGGCCGGGGCCGGGTCAGCCAACGGAGGAGGCGCCGGCGTTCGCACCAGCAGCTTCTTCGCCAGCAGCATCAACGTGGAAGACCTCCAGAACTCCCTGGGTTCTCTAGCGGAGTCCAAAAGCCTCCGAGTGGACGAGAAGCAACAGCTCAGCAGTCTCAACAACCGCCTGGTCGGCTTCATGGGGAAGGTTCGCCAACTCGAGGACCAAAACATGCAACTCAAAGCCATGCTGGAACAGGTAACCCGCACACTTGTTTTACTATAAACAAACTTTCCCTAAGAAAGTACAAAGAAACACACACCTACATGTAACGCGAACCAGTGAGAGTTACCCTGACTCTCATTAGCGTAACACATGTTGACATGGAACCTTCTTCTAGTCAATCCATCCGCAAAAATAAACCGTTATTATCTTGTCAAGTTTGCTTAAGTACAGCTATTATGTGTTGAAGTAAGCTAGGGACACTGTGTAACGCAGGAGAGGTAAAATATAGGATTTTTAAAGCCAGATGCGCTGTAATTATCTGACCGTGTCTCTGTGTGGAAGTCCCCCAGGCATTACACAGAGCAGGTGGTTTAACATTTGTGGGCGTTGCCGAAAAAAGTTTCCTACTCAAAACACGAATTAAAGGCACACACAATACAATACAATACAAAACCGTACTTTCAAAGTCAATTTTCTGTTCATTCTTTAAATGTAGTAAGTTGAATCAATCCTAGCCCATAGCATACTGATACCTGTGAGGCAAAAATGCGATGTCATGTCACTGACGGAATTGTTTCGTATCGTAGACTGCTTCTACTAGTTCTATGTCGATGCCCGTAATGATTTTTGAGGAAGCGCCCTCACAACACCTTAAAAAAATGTCTTCTTATTCACCTGAATAAAAATTTGGCAACCTTTCAAGAACAACACTCCCTCTGACCACACGTGTAACCCCGGGCCCACGCACCATAATCTGAATTCCAAACATTCAATGTGACTTTTCAAGAATTCTACAGAACACAATCAGTCAACGTAAAAAGAACACTTCCGTAGCCATGTGTTGTTGAAATAATTGGGTCTGGAAAGAAACACGTAGTGTCGTGTCAAGATAATTAAACACATTTGTCGTCAGTTTTGAACTGAGGGCATTTTTTGGTCAGTTGTGCAAGTGTCGTTCAAATTCAGCTGTCTTCTTGCCCGAAAAGCTGACTTAGATCTAGCCTCCTGTGCAGGCCCCGCGGCGGTCGGGAAGAGTTTTTAGCGCGTTAGCGTTATTTTAATAGCCGACCATCCTACAACTAGCCACCGGGAGAAGGTTCCATTCCGCCCGTGGGCTAACTTAGATCCTTGTCGGTGGATGGTTCTGTCACAGCCCGCTTAGTGAGGTCGGTTCCTTTGTCTCACAAACCTGTATTTCAAGAAAGGTCCTGACGACAAATTCCCCGTCACACATATCCGAATACGGCCTCCTGTGCACCGACCATGGTTAGGAATAGGTCGGGAGCAAGGTCGGCTGGTGTTCGGCCAGGTTGGCTACTGTTCGGCTGCGTCTGCTGAATTTTTCAAGATGTTTAAAACAGTCGGGTGTGGACGGGAGGTTTGGCCATGGTTGGGTGGCATGGTGGCTGGCTGGCGTTCGGGTGTAGGTCGACAGCCAAATTTAACTCAATTTTTTTTTTTACTCAACTTAAAGTAGGACTGCTCCCGAACTTTAGCCAACCTCGGTAGGCTGGTGTTCGGGAAAGGTTCTGAATGTGTGACAGGAGTTTAACCTTGCTGTTCTTTTTTCCTGTATCCTCATCAGTCGAGTGGGGTTGAGGTGAAGTCGGGGCTACCGGAGCTATGGGAACGGGAGATGCAGGCCCTCCGACAGGAGCTGGAGGCCGCCAACCACGAGAGGACCCGCCTGGAGGTCCGCATCGAGGGGTACGAGACGGAGATCGGGCAGCTCAACAACAGGTACGGCAACTGTTTTCGGCGGGCGGGCATGTATACGGTCCCGCTAGTATAATTTGCTGTGAGCGGTTCACGCCGTCATCGTCGCTAGAAAGAATAACATGACTTAGTATAGAATAAAGTTAAGATTATTGTCAGGAGGCTACTATTACAATTCTTGGAGCCCAAAATACTGATGATTTTTTTGATAAGTTACGACTTGTCCTGGTCTTGGTGCCGAGTTGTCCTGAATGGCCAGGGGCCGAGTTGTCTCAGGGGCCGAGTTGTCTCAGGGTCGAGTTATCCTGACACAGTAATACTCACAACACAGATAGACACAAAGGTCTGCAGATGTGCTTAGGGGTATGGATGCATATGTGTTTAGGTACGAGACAGCAAATACGCCACACAAGACATATATATGTAGACATATAGTTTCACTGACGAAATGTAGAGGATGCTATCTGAAACGCCTGTCCGTTTCCATCTTGCCATATCCAGTTCCTTGAGTAACTGTTTTTGGCGTACCGTATTACCTAGATGTCTAACCTTCACTGACGATACGAACATAAATCTACCTATGTGTATAGATGTATAGTTAGGTGGCGATGCGTTTTTGTACGAGATGGAGAGGTCGCAGTGTGCATCGCGAAGATAGGAAAGACAATTGTACAACACTTAGCTTACTACAGGGATAGAGACACAGGATGGGCGTGGCAAGGGAGACAATAGAATGAATAGACAACACTGTACGGGCATAGCTACCAGATTTCATCAGCAAGTTTAGCTTCCTGTAATTAAAAATAAACTTTCTGGAATGGCGCAGTTTGAACAAAAGTCAGTTTTAGGACATAGTGGTACGAAGAATGCAGAAAAGCACATCGGAAGAGGAGGGGTCTAAAATGTCGGGAAAACTTGAAAATGGGCGTGTCATCACGTATAGAGTGTCAAACAGCTGTTGTCTCCTTTAGCATCCAGTTGGCAAAGTCAAATGCAGACAAACAAAGAGTTATTTGAAGAAGATCCATAGCAAGGTATATGCCATGACAAATATATATACATGTACTTTATTGAGGTACCGATAATATAGAGATCTGATCTCAAACGCACTGCTAGAGCATGCATAATGTAATAAGGTATGTGGTTACCTAAGCATAATTCAATCCTCCTGGGATCCTTGCTGCTTTAAGTACTGATTACTGTTTTGTTTAATTGCCTGGTTAATTAAGTTCTGTGCCATAGCAGGTGTGGCTTTTCTTCTTTCTTCGTAAAGTGTCGTTCTAATGTTTTTTTTTTATAATCCAACATGTAATCACAAGACGTGGTGACGACACAACTTATATTAATGCCGCCGCCAACACAGGGGACAATACAATACTCACTTACACCTGAGTGAGGAAAGTCGTGTAAAGTGCCTTTCCCAAGGGCACAAGATCGGTGGCATGTCAGGACTCCAACCCGGGACCTCTTGGTTCCGAGTCGAGCACTCTGCTGCTACGCCACACGACCCCACTTCTGATGTTATTCCTCTGTGAAGTGTAAATACGTGAACAATCTTTACATGAAATCTTTATGTAGAGTTGAAACCACAGAATTCATAATTGTCTTAGCTTTCACTTGTTCAATCCTTATAAAACATCTCTCAAGAGCCCATATGTACCTCTACTACAGAAGTTATAATAGTACAGTCAAGACAGAACGAAGGATGTTTTTTTTATATTCCAACATCTAATCACAAGACGTGGTGACGGCACACTCAAGTTTTTTCAAGTTATATTAATGCCGCCACCAACACAGGGACAATACATTTTCACCTGAGCGAAGTGAGGAAAGTTGTGTAAAGTGCCTTTCCCAAGGGCACAAGATCGGTGGCATGTCAGGACTCGAACCCGAGACCTCTTGGTTCCGAGTCGAACACTCTGCCACTACGCCACACTACCCCACAACGAAGGATTATTTGAACAAAGTCAGTCTCTGCACATCAGAGTACACTGTGTAACTTTTTCACACATAAGCCGACACGCCCACTCGAGATAGCATTCCACAAAAACCGGTTTTTGGCATTCCCGGGATTCTTAGGGAGCCTTTGTAGTGTGCAAATACACACTTTAATTAACCTACAGGATAGACAATAACTGCATGTAAAACCCGAATCTAGCAACGAATCCTTAGTCCCTGTCACACATTCACGAATGTCTCCTCCCTAACACTAGCCGAACTCCCCCCAACCATGGTTAGGTCGGGGCAAGGTCGGTTGTGGTTGGCTGGTATTCGGAGAAGTCGGCTACTGTCGGGTTGTGCCACCAGAATCTTTCAAAATGTTTCAAACATTCGGGTGTGGACGGAGGGTTCGGCCATGGTTAGCTGGTATTTTGGAGTAGGCTAGCTGGGGTGTGGTTGTCCTTCAAATTTGACTCAAATTTAACCTAAATTCGATTCGTATCGAAAGGAATGCATACTCTTTATCCGGTCGCATATTGCCTCCAAATTTCAGCCAACGTTAGTCGGTTGGTGTTCGGGGAAGGTTCTGGATATGTGACAGGAGCTTTAAGTTTAATATACAGGTTGCCTGTTTTTCTTAATTGCTGAAGTTTCTAGCTGCCCGGGAAATAATTAAACATTCCCGAAGCGTACTCTACCAATTTACAACGTGTGGGCACGAACTCTAAACACTGTCTAGCAACAGTCTACTGAGTTTTAAGTTGTTTGTTCAGAGAATTAGCGTTTGTAGATGACAAAAGCGCCCCACACAATACATGTTATTATGACTTTCAGAAAGAATGTGAAGCAATCAGAGCATAGCCAGACGAGGATACACCTGTCTTAACCTGTGATCTTTGAAAGAGAAACACCCCTTCCCACCACCCACCTGTCCCTGATTTTTGCCACATTTTATCTTAAAAGTGCTCAATGTAGTTTTTAGGGCTTGAAAATTAGATTTTTCAAAGTCAACATTCCAGTCACTTATCTACATACTAAGTTTTTTTTTTTTTTCAAATGTTCAATTCATTGAGCAAAAATACCGAAAAAAATGTGACGGAAAACGGTTACTGGTAGGATCTTGGGCTGATTTTTGGAATACCAACCAGAAAATAAAGGACTCATTTTTAGGCCTGCTTCTGCACTGTTTTCGTACTTTATGCCGAAATATGAAATACTAAATATTAAATGTAAATGTGCTAATGTGGGGCAGTATGTGCCAATATCCTACAGATTATTTCAAATTTTGCCACCCTGAAACTTCATTGCATGCCATATATCATCAAAGCTCAGTTGGTTAGATACAGATGGTACCACAGGCTATCTTATCTAAAAACACATCAACAGAATAGCACAACGATCTCGAAAATTAACCAACGTGTAATAGTGTCTTATTTTGCAAGCAAACAGGTTTTTGTGGTGATTGTCAACAAAGAATACATTTTTCACAGACGTAGGGAAAGAAAAATAAACAATTCGATATTTTCAAAGGATCTGTGTACAATACAACTAAGGCAGGTTTACAGAAAGATCTGTGAAGTTAAAGCCCCTGTCACACGTGCATTGTTCAATATGGCCTCCCCAACACTAGCCGAACGCCCCCCAACCATGGTTGGGAGTAGGTCGGGAGCAAGGTTGGTTGGTGTTCGGCCAGGTCGGCTAACTGTTCGGCTGTGCCATCCAAATGTTTCAAAATGCTTAAAACATTCATTTATAAAATTGAAAGTTCGGCTGGTGGTTGGCTGGTGGTCGGAAGTAGGTGGGAGCATGATTTACATTCAAATTTGACTCACATTTAACTCAAATTCGATTCGTATGAAAGGTAGGCGTTGCCTAAATCTTCCCAGACCGTTCCCAACCTCGGTGGGCCGGTGTTCGGGGGAATGTTCTGAATGTGCGACAGGGGCTTATAGTCAAAAATCAAAAGAGGAGGATCATGAAAAAGCTGTTATCATCGGGCTTAATCTCACATTCCTCTGTTCCCTCCGGACTGAGGAAAAAAACTGGTCCGACCTCCCTTCGGACGCTAAAGAACAATGGCGACAGCGGTAATTGTTTACGTTGACAATTTACCTGCCGAAAATCACAACTACCACCTCAGGAAGGTACTACAAAGACAAAGTTTGGTTTGAAAAAAAGGAAAGGGGAGGGGTGTGTGTTCAGACAGTGTGTAGAGTTGTATGTTGACAGACATTCACAAAAAAATGTCACCAAGTGTGCTAGTCCGGTATCCAGTCTATCGTGGTTGCGGCAGGCTGTCTACGGGGCTCTGATAGTTTTCCCCCGTGGGCGGGCCCTACCACAACCGTGGTAGGGCTATTATTATAATCGATCTCCCATTGTGAAAAACGTACCGGGAACCTAGCTGTGGCGGGCGGGGAAGAGCTTTAGCAGCCCCGAAGAAAATCTGCCCAAACCGCGATAGACAGGTTAGAGGTGTCCCACCTGGTCCCGAGGTTTACAAGACCCGTCATGAGTGAGTGGTTCCGGTTTGGTAGGAGTACCGCCCCGGGCCACGGCTACACACCGTGCGGGCTAATTATCATCTTCATTCCTGCATACACCTCACAGCGATACGTTAAACCAGGTGTAAATCATGCACAATCTTGTCATCCCTACCGCCAGTCAGACATTAGTACACGTATGTATGTCAACATAAGGAATCAGTCAAGAAAAAAGTTCAAAAGAGTCGAGCAACATTTTACAGAGTATAGCCATGCATATACCAAAAGATAAAATGTCATTTAAAAGCAAACAAATAGCTACAGATGTTTATTACGTATATTGATTAAACCACTGTGTAATTGGTGAGGCCAACCCAGTAATTAACATTCCGGATGTCATAGCGTCTTTCATTGAAGTAAAGCCCCTGTCACACATTCATGAATCCACCCCACACACCCCACCCGTACCCCACTCCCCGAACACTAGCCGACCTCCCCCCAACCATGGTTAGGAGTAGGTCGGGGCAAGATCGACTGTGGTTGGATGGAGTTCGGAGAATTCGGCTACTGTTCGGCTGCGGTAGACGAATGTTTCAATTTGTTTAAAACATTCGGAAGCGGACGGGAGGTTCGGTCATGGTTGGCTAGTGTTCGGGAGTAGTTGGGGCATTGTTGGAATTCAAAATTGACTCAAATTTGACTCAAGTTCGATTCAATTCGTATAGTAAGACTAAATCTGTTCAGACTGCGCCCCGAATATAAGCCTACCTTGGTCGGCTGGTTTTCGGGGGAAAGTTCTGAATGTGTGACAGGGGCTTCAGCCAACCTTGGTCGGCTGGTGTTCGGGGGAAGGTTCTGAATGTGTGACAGGGGCTTCAGCCAACCTTGGTCGGCTGATGTTCAGGGGGAAGGTTCTGAATTTGTGACAAGGGCTTTAAACTGCTCCCGTGTCCCTGCATACTGTGTTACGGGGTCACTAGTGGTAAGAATGTCAACAATGAAACAGTATTGCGGGGTTTGACAAATACGTCACGCGAACATGGGGCAATGTGCCACTAGTGACAGACTTTGTTTAAGGCACCCAATGCAATTTAAGGGCACAAAACTGGGAGTCAATTTTCTGGGCTTTCTTTAAAATGTAGTAAGTTGAGTCAACCCTGTCCCAGAGCATACTTGTATCTGCGATGTCGCTGATGGAAAATAAACTAGCTATTTATTGAATAACTTTATTGCGCAACAATTGTACAATATACAAAGTATGGCATCTACTAACTTAAGCAAGTACATGTCAACTACATTTTCATAAGGCTAATCTAATACAAAAGTGGGTGGCTAGTATGAGATAGGTCTCAACTTAAACAATCGTTGGAGGAGTTTCTAATATCCATACAGTCTTTAATATGATTACTTTTTCTCCACCTTCTCTGCACCTGACCCTAATGTTATCAAGCCCGACATCGACGTGATAGTTGATGAAAGATTGTGTAATTTGCTACTTGCTGTAGAATCCGTGGAAAATGTGTTAGTTAATCTCAACACTAGTAAGGCTGTGGGTCCGGATAACATCTCTGCACATGTTCTTAAGGGTTGTGCCAAGACTCTTGCTCCTTCCTTGACCTTGCTGTTCAATAAATCACTATCCGCTGGTTGTGTACCTAGTAGATGGAAGGATGCAAACGTACTACCAGTGCATAAGAAGGGTGACAAAGAGAATGTGGCCAATTATAGGCCAGTATCCTTGTTATCCCTGGTAAGCAAGGTGATGGAACGTTGTATGTACAATCAGTTGATTCCAATGTTGAGAGGGTCGCTTCACGAATTCCAACACGGGTTTATTGCCGGCCGCTCTACCACCACTCAACTTGTAGAAACCTACCATCAAGTAGGATCCATACTCGACAAGGGGGGGCAGGTAGACATGTTATTCTTGGACTTCGCGAAAGCGTTTGACTCCGTTTCACACACTTTGTTACTCCACAAACTTCAGATGTTTGGTTTCGGTGGTAACCTCCTGGCGTGGTTTACCTCCTACCTAACCGATCGTCGTCAGCGTGTCGTAGTGGAAGGTTGCCAGTCCAAATGGCTCCCGGTGACATCAGGTGTTCCACAGGGCTCCATTCTTGGGCCCTTTCTCTTCCTTCTGTTTATCAATGACTTACCTTGTGCAGCAACTCAATCCACTGTAGCACTCTTCGCTGACGACTCTAAATGTTTTAGGGAAGTCAGCAAGCTAAATGACTGTGTTAAGCTGCAGAATGACATCACTGCTATGTACAACTGGAGTCTTACTTGGAAGATGTCTTTTCATCCTTCCAAGTGTAAACTTATCCGTTTAACTCGCTCTAAGAGTCCTATTGTGTACTCTTATCACATGTCTGATACTACAATTACATCTGTAGACAGTATGCCTGACCTTGGGGTCATTGTCCAGTCGGACCTTCAGTGGAACAGTCATATCTTAAAGATGGTAGCCAGGGCCAATTCTATGACTGGTTTCATCAAAAGAACAGTCGGGTTCAACTCTAGCACTGATGTACGCAAGGCACTGTACACCACATTGGTGAGAAGCATCTTAGAATACTGCTCACCTTTGTGGTCTCCTCAGTCCCGAAAACTCATGTCCCTTGTAGAGGGGTGCAACGGCGGGCGACTAAATTCATTCTAGGAGCCCACTCGAACACCCTGACCTACAAGGAACGTCTCTCCACCCTTGGTCTGTTGCCTCTTGTGCACAGGCGTGAAGTTTGCGACGTCATGGTGTTTATTAAGTCTAAACCAATTGTTCACAAGTATGTATCCTTCCCTTCCAGACCCTCTAGATACCTTCGATCGCACATGCTTACCCCCATTAGAGTAAGGACATCAGCCTTCAGCTCTTCTTACATACCAAGGCTGGTCACCATCTGGAATCAGCTGAGTCCTGTCCTCCGTAATATTGGGGTTCAAGCCTCTGAAATGTCCAACATCTTGACATTCAAGCGATCGCTTGTGAGAGCCACGTTTATGAGATTTGACACCCAGTTCAATATCGACGTTCCCTGCTCCTGGTCCACATCTTGTGGGTGTGCCTCATGCACTGCTTTAAGGCCGCATTAGTATCATAATTAGCTTTTTAATCTGTACATAATGACATTTGATAATTTTTGTACATAATCAATTCTCTGTATAACTTTTACCGAATTGTACATTTCATGTCTACTGATTTTTGATGTCTTATGTCTAATGTTCATTGTTTGACTTGGTTCCGTATTGTTTTGTATTATCATTTCAGGTTTGGGAGGACAACTTGTAAAGGCGTTGATACACCTGTTTTGTCCTCCCTTCCACTTGTTTTTTGCATGTGGTGAATTCAAATAAAGAAATAAAGAAAGAAATAATATAGTGGGTGGCTAGTATGAGATAGGTCTCAACTTATACAATCGTTGGAGGAGTTTCTAATATATTTATTGGTGGTACCTCAAATTAAAGGGACTCTCCGCGTAGCTTGTTTAGGGGCTATTTCAAATGCCTCAAGTATAAAATGATGATGAAAATAGCACTAAAGGTCAATATCAGACAAATTTCCTCATCCAGAATATTTTTGTTTTGCCATCCTGAATTTGAAATTCCATTGGACGCCTTTAAAGACCTTAAATTGCTCCTACATGTATGTATAATGTCGACTGTTTTTGTACCACAGGTTGGACAGTGCTGACCAGATTATCAATGACTTGGAGGTCGAACTGGCAGCTGCGAGGAAGGTAAGGCTGATTTACTGTGCTTCTAAACATCAGCGTAAAAAAAAAGAAAATTCGGAGATATCATACCTCCATGGAATACTAGTATTTAAAGCTTTTGAAAGTGAAAATGTTACTACTGCTAAAATCAATTCCAAATGAAAATAAGAAAATGTGAAAAAATGAAAAGGAATAGTTTATTATTCGCCATACATGTACCAGCCTACTGTGTAGTTTGGTCATTTGTTCAACCTTCTTGACCACGCACATTTCAGAATGAAGATGACTTTTTTTGCAAAGTGTTTTTTATTCGCACGCTCGCATCAGTTTTGGGAGTTCCCAGTGCATGTCATCCATATAATCAAATCAACGGATTAGAGTACATATTACTAGGCCACAGCAAGTAAGTTTTATGGATGACATCAGCGCACACATTAATTTTCGCCTGATTTTGGGGGAAAACAGAAATATCGTTGCCCTCTTACAGTGCGTGGTCAACGTGAGAAAGTCGTGAATGCTTAATAAGGCCACAGCATGTAAATTTTATGGATGACATCATCCGCGGACTCCAAATCTAATGCAAGAGGGTGAAAAAAACAAGGCGGGCCAAGAAAATAAGATTCCCATATATTCAAATTTTGACATCATAAACCATGTTAAGCAAGAAACGATACCTATATTGTGCTAACTTTACTGCCAACTATTTAAATGACCATTTAAATGGAATGAAATGCATCACTGCATCAAAATAAAAGTAAAAACAATAAATCAGAGCCTTGTCTTATCTTCTCTCTTCATGTTCGTCTGCCATACACGTTCCAGCATGGCAAGTCATGCCATTTTGCCCATTTCCGGCATGTTGACCACTGTCAGAGGGCAACAAAATTTCTTTCTTTTTTTTTCAAAATCAGGCGAAAATCAATGCGCGCTGATGTCATCCATACAAATTACCTGCTGTGAGAGAGTCATGAGAGAGTCGTGACTGCTTAAGCCCTTAAGCTTGCTTGTCCCTTTGATCAGTCTCCGGTTCAGACACACCTTGAGAGTTTACATGTGAGAAAAGCCAACGCTGGTGGCACGTAATGTGGAAAAGCCGGTTGAACAGCATGTCGCAGTCTCTGATTTATTATGACTGGCGTATTGTGATGTCCCATCCCAGAGATTAACGATGGGATTCATGGTGGCTCTGCAATGAGCCGTATCTCCTCTTTACCCCGAAGAAGTTACAATGTGTATGTAAGAGATTCCCAGAAATAGTTAAAGGTCTCGCCTTTTCCCCGACGTAGTGGCTTCGTAAATACCTTTGTCAAAGCGACCACCTCTATTATAAGCCCGCCATCTGGCCACAATGACCGCTTTATCTCAGACCCAATTCACCTCCTCCCATTGGACTTGCCTAAGTCGACCACCTGTCCAATGTAACCGGTACATGGCCCAATCTCTACCTTTGACGACCGTGTCATTTTCAAGCATTTCTTCACGCCTGGAAGCCTCTACATATACATGTATATGTAAGACCATGTTGATTTGATTATATGGATGACATCCTATGGGAACCCCAAAACTGATACAAGCGTGCGAATAAAAAAAATGGCAAAAAAAAGGTTTCTTTCATTTTGAAATCTTGGTGGTCATGAAGGTTAACAAATTTTTTATTTGGTTAATAGTATACTCTTCATTTTCATTTCTTCACATTTCTCCTTGTCCTTTGAAATTTGGCATTCTGGAACATAAGTATCGTTTTCCAATGTTTCCTTTTGCAATTTACGGCATATGTTTGCTCATTTTGCAGCTACTTTGTACGATTTACAGTATGGTCGAAACCTTTCTTTTGGAAACGGACAAAAATTCATGCGCGCGTGGATGTCATCCATATAATCAAATCAACATGGCCTAGAGGCATTTAAAATACAATACAGCTTCAGACACACCCCCTCCCACATCACCTTTCGCACATTATACATGTAACTACGTTCAATCTGTGATTACATATTTGCGACAAAGCTGCAATCCTGAACAATCTAAAAATGTTTAAAACATCCAGGTGTGGACGGGAGGGTCGGCCACGGTTGGCTGGTGGTTGGTAGCTGTTCGGAAGTTGGTCGGGGTGTGGTTGGCATTCAAAGATGACTCAAATTCTAAAAATTCGAATCGTAAGGAAAGGTAAAAAGGTAGGCGTGGCCAAAATTTGGCCAGACTGTTTGATTTGACTTGATTTATTAAAATTGCAACAATACACGTGGGGCACAGGCAGCTGTCGCTGGTGTTGCGTCCCACACATAGAACATACACGTACAAACACATACAAAAATATAACTAGTACAATAACAATAACAATATCAATAGTAATACATCTTGTCTAATGTTACGTATCAGTCCACTGTTCCCGAACTTCAGCCAATCTTAGTCGGGTTGTTGGTTCATTACATACATATATACATATTCATGTATATATATGTAGGTAATGCAATGTAATGTTATGTGTTTTTGAATGTATTGATTGTCATTCAATACCAATGTCATTTAGGCAACAATATAATTCTATATACTGTATGTCTGCAATGTTGGTGTAATAATAAAGAATTGAAGAATTGAATTGAAGAACATTTTAATAGTAATGATAATAACCTTTATTGTACATTCATGCCCTATTGGGCTAAGTACAGGTGAACAGATGAAATGGGTAATATACATGTTTGTAGTACAAATAGCTCTAAAACTACACTAATACAGAGGTTCGGCTTCTTCTCGTTTCTTTGTGATGTCAAAAATATAATTTGAAATGGGTTTGTTTAATACAGGATGATCAAAGCGCAAGAAATATGAATTTTCAATGATCATGAAGGATCGTGACCTGACATGTTTTTACCTCCCAACAGGACTGTGATGACGCGACTGTGGTGAAGGTGGACATGGAGTCTAAACTGGAGATCATGAAGACCGAGATCGCCTTCCTGAATGACTACCACGAGCAGGTACGTGTCTTCGGGATCCAGCACCGGTCGCTACCGTGTTTCCTTCGAGTGGGCCGAAAAATTCTGAAAGACGCGGCAAATTCAGGAGCGCGTGTAGATCTGCACTGCGATTGGTTAGGGCGGATCAAGTTTACACTGTGATTGGCTAAGACAAGTCGTGCCCCGCCCGTGCTCACCACGTGATAGAAGTCCACTTGTACATCACTGTTGCGCAACATCAATTCATGACCCCATAGGTATCTACATAAAAACCCATAAACATATTATATCGTGTGGCGTAATGGTTATATGATTGGCCCAGAACCCGTAGGTCATGGGTTCGAATCTACCAATATGCCCCTTGGAAAAGTTATTCTTTATTCTTTGATTTATTCTTTATCCTATTACTTTCTAACTTATATAGCATCGTCAGTATGCATTTAGTTCCGTGGTCATGAATATCCAATAAGCATTGATTACAGGAATGTTAAACTTTCGTGTGAATTAGCTGGCACAAGATCAAGTAGGAATCTGTTTTTCAGTTTTCCTTAGTTTCACTCGACACTGATGGACAAATATTTCTGAATTTTATGTGCATGTACTTAAACATATACATGAGGTTGTAAAATACTAGTAGTAGCAAAGTATCAATCAATCTTTATTTGCATGCTCATGCCCAAAATACAGATGATGTCACTTGTATATGGAAACTGAGTAACGCAGTACATGTAATAGAATAAAAGGATAACTGAAAAGTTTTAAGAACTAGCTACTAGAAAGAAGATTCTACCTAATCTTAAGTGTAGCGTAGCAAAGCTGTCCTCAACACTTGAGAAATGTGAATATGCAAATACTTGTTATAGAGAACTTTATTGACACAACAAAAGTACAGCGACTTTCGTAAGGTCTAAGACTGCGTGTAGATAGACAAATACATGGGTACAACGAAATTTGCCTACGTAGAAAACAATAGATGGGTCAACTAATACTACTTGTTCTAAGGTCTAAACATTCCTTGATATATTTACCTATTGGACACAGTAAGGGTTATTACCTTCTAGGATGAAATTTGAATTTATCTATAGCATGCAATAAACAAATTCTGTTGAGCAGGCGGAGAGAAGGTTGGACAGCTTTGTGCGTTTATCGTTATATAGTTTACAATTCAAAATGAAATGTTGTTCGTTCTGAATAGAGTTGGAGTGAAAATGTTTTAAAAAAAACGCCATTTTCGTTTCTCCCTCTTTTTATGACAGCAAATCCTGGAGCTGGAGGAGCAGCTGCGGCAGCGCATGTCGGTGGTGCCGGCCGTGATCGAGTCGGACCACACGTACGAGATGCAGGAGGTGATCGACAACCTGCGGGCGGAGTACGAGCAGACCATCCGCCGCCACCAGCAGGAGGCCAAGGACTGGGCAGAGACTAAGGTGGGTCGCATAACACAGTACTTAAGGGCAAAAAGTAGTGCGGCACAGTACTTGAGAAAGCTGCCGAGATTTTTACGTGCAGGGTAGCGAGGTGAAAACTGCTATTGAACATGCACAAAAAACTATAGAATAAAACTTCAATCCCAATTACTAAAACAATAACAAGGGCTAGCATAAGTCTTTGACATAGCGTTAAAATCAATTGGGACTAATCGTGAGTTTTGGTATTTTTTTCTAATAACAAAGCCATCTTTGATATATTTACCTATTTTTGCGTTATGTAAGTTATTGTGTAGTTGAAGAAATATTCAAATTTGTCTGTAACATAGAGTCTCTTGAAATGTGAGATATGAGCAAAGCTTAATAAGCTTTCCTATCGTAATACTAGTATATGTGAATTATGCCAGAAAATAGGGTTTACAAGCCATGTACCTGAGTTTAAGACCTTGAAAAAACACATTGGCAGGGTACTCCAACCCTACCCCTCTGGGCAGCTGATGATCGCATGAAAACCTGTATCTTTCTTCTTCAGCGAACCATACAACAAATTATGGCTGAGAGTCTGTTTTTCAACAAAACAAAAAGACTAAAACCCTTACTTGTATTACATCCAAGTGAAAAGAACATTTCCAAGAAAAGGACTTCTTTGTTTTGTTTCAGAATGTAATCTCTAAAACTAGTCCCCGCACTCATTAATAGCCTTTGTCCATAAGCCACTTACGCCGAATTCATTTTGTGGGATCTTTCAGCATTAGACCAGCTTACTAGTAATTAGTTGTACTATTAGGTTTCGCTAACCCAATTAAGCATGGTCCACTGGTTGGCGCACCAAGCGATCAGATGTAGAACTGCAGGGGGTAATCTTAACGTTCACTGAAAGCAGTACCATTTCAAGTCTTTGGGTACTCGGGTATCGAACCCACGACCTACTGAATACAGAGCGAACACTCTGCCCACTTGGCCATTGCACCTGACTAACCGAAATAACTGTACTCCTGCAGATTAAGATCCAGAAGGACGACACCGTGAAGATTGAGGGACTGAGGAGGGACGTGATGGAGTGGAAGTCTAAGGCTACAACCGCTGAGATGAAGATCGCCAGCTACGAAGGCATGGTGAGTATGTGTGTGTTACAGACCCCATATCCTTGTCAAACTGGACTTTCAAACTGGACTTTCTGTTTATCTTTTAATGCAGAAAGTTTGAGCCACTGAGCGCAAGTAAGTCTATTAAAAGTGGGATCGACACTGTGTATAGTGATACCTGTGAGGCAAAAATGCTTGTTACTTATCGTAGGCTGGTTCTAGCTATTTATTGGTGGTACCAAAAAATAAAGGCACATCTCATCTCATTAATAAATCTATCTAATAATTGCAATAAATGCCACCTAGCGATTTACAGGGAAAAGACAGGAGAACCAAATCCTCGAATGAAGTTTTGTACTGACTGTGTTCGTCTGTCGTCTAGATCATGTCCGACATGCAAGGAGGATACTGAAGACGAATTCCATTTTATGTCATGTCCAACATATGAAGAAAACAGACAAAAGTTTATGCAATCCATAGCTTCCAAAACTAATGTTACGCTACCTCACTCAAAATGAGATATCTTTAATATACTCCTTTCATGTCCTACTCAGATATCAGTGTACGTTGGAAAATTCATATCTGAATCACTACAAAAGCGACACCATATTGTAAATATCTCCTGAATTACAAAATAAATGTAATAATTTACTCTTCTTAAGAAAACACAATAGATTAGCTTTAGTATCAGTATGGATTACATCTTAGAAATATACTTAATGTAGTTCATTTTATCTACATTTTCCCCCATTCTTTGCCACACATTGTACCAGTGACAGTTGTTGAGCAATAAAGTTGATTTGATTTGATCTGTGTCCACAGCTGAAGTCTATCCGGGAGCAGCTGCACGAACAGGAACTGCGTCACGAGAAGTCTCTGAACGCGAAACAGGACGCCATCAGGGAGCTTCAGGGCAGCATTTCCGAGATCAAGTGGGTTCTCACACGTATATGTATCTAAGGCCATGTTGATTTGATTATATGGATGACGTTCTGTGGGAAACACAAACCTGATGCGAGCATGCGTTAAAAATGAAATTTAACAAAACTGAGTTGCCTTCACTGTTGAATCTACGTGGCCATGAAGGTTGAACAGACATTGACACGGTAGTCAAAAGAGGTTGAACTACCGTGTCAATGTCTGTTCAAATTTTTTTCGTTATGGGCTATAGACCATAACGAAAAAAATTCTTACGGTAGAAACTATCGAGAATATGAAACAATATACAGAAGTGACCTCAGGGCCTCATGCAAACATAATATATCTCTTTTTCAATTATTATTAATGAAACGGAAACAACACTAACATGTCTGAAAGTATATTTTTATTCCAACAAGATAAAAGGACTTGCCTATAACACCTAACTCCAAAAAAGAATTTCCAAGAAAAAGACTTCTTTATATTCGGCTTCACAATGTAATCTCTGGGGCCATTGTGCTCGCGCAGATTCTTGGCCTTTCCACTGGACTCATCCACACACCCATCAGCTAACCAAATAGTCTTTTTATCGTAGAACACGCTACTAGTACTAAAATATTGAGTTTGGTTCGCTTGTCTCCCCAGGGCCCGACTCACCGCTCAGCTGAGGGAGTACCAGGACCTGATGAACGTCAAACTCAAACTGGACGCTGAGATCGCCGCCTACCGGGAGCTGCTGGAAGTGGAGGAGGAGCGTTACAGCGCCATGGAGTTCGCATCACAGGAAGCATCGCAAAGTACGTGATCACGCACGATGTTTTATTACCTCCATGAAAAATGGAGGTTTTGTTTTCGGTCTGTGTGTGTGTGTGTATGTGTGTGTGTGTGTGTGTGTGTGTGTGTGTGTGTGTGTGTGTGTGTGTGTGTGTGTGTGTGTGTGTGTGTGTGTGTGTGTGTGTGTGTGTGTGTGTGTGTGTGTGTGTGTGTGTGTGTGTGTGTGTGTGTGTGTGTGTGTGTGTGTGTGTGTGTGTGTGTGTGTGTGTGTGTGTGTGTGTTTCCGCACATTTGTAGTCAGCATAACTTCAGAACGCCTTTATGGATTGTAATCATATTAGGTATGTTGGTAGGTCTTAGGAAGGAAAACACTGGGTGTTGACGGGAGGCTCGTCCATTGTTGGCTTGTGTTCGGGAGAAGGCCAGGTTGTAGTTGGCATTCAAATTTGACTCAAATTTAACTCAAATTAGATTCGATTCGAATACAAATGCAGACGTAGCCTACCTCTTGTCAGACAGCTGTTAGCTGATGTTCGGGGAAAGGTTCTGAATGGGTTACAGGGGCTTTACTGTGATCCCTAACGAGTTTTTTTTTTGTTTGCTTTTTTTTAGCCAAGACCGTGAGCATCGAGGAAGTAGAGGAGCGACACAAGGCGGAGCTCGCCCGTCTGGAGGCTGACATCGAGCGGTACAGGGCCGACATCGCCAACCTGCAGGAGCAACTCAAGCTGGTGAGTACCCTCAGTCTATACAGAGGCAACCTTTTTTATACATTGACCACCACGTAATTAGACCCGAAGGCCACTCACTAGGTTTCGGGTTACATGAGGACTGTAACAGCATTTCTTCTCCCTATACTAAAGTCAGAGACGTCATGATTTAGGCAAGATCAAAAGCTCACTAGGAGTAAGGACAAACTGACCCAATAGGAGAAGCAGGGGTTACAAATTCCCTTTGAGAGCCTTGTCAAAAATCTGCTCGCCAAACTTCACTTCTTTTTTTCCAGGGGTACGGTAGTTGGCTACGTTGTTATGTTTACCTTCACAGAAGGAAAGCATTTTGTTTTCGCCCTGTTTCTTCTTCTACCTCTTCTTTTTCTCCAAACGCATAAGGTCAATGGCCTAGACCAGACGTCTGTCACCATGGTAACTGGTGATGTAGCACACATCCTCTGGTGTTAGGTTACATTGTGTAGTACGACAGAGCTGGTCATCATACACAATGTCATGTCGACATCTATGAATGTGTTTGAGCAAGAATAAACAGGGTAGTAGTTTTTTTTAGACCATGTGAAGGTAAACATTGTGCATTTGCTTTGCAAATGTTACCTTTAAAGTTTCTAGTATCAGACTATGTTGATTGAAGAATTCAACATAGTTATCCGGATCATACAAGACCTACAAGACCTAGATATGCCATTTTCTTCCGATCGGTGATTGTCCTTTTCTCTTCCATGGTCATTGCCACGCCATGTCCATGATCGCATTTCCAATTCCATTTCAATCTCACACTCCGTCCGCGCTAGTTAAACGGCGTACAGGAGATAGAGGAGGAACGGTTGAAGGAAAAGATACAAGAGGTGTGATGATGCGTACACAATACAGAATGAATGTTTTACATATGCAGGGTTGGACAAGTTTTCAAAAGTTCACCCTGGATACTTAAAGACTTATAATACAGTCCTTCTGACAAAAGGGTATACTTTTGACTAGAATCAATATAATATCATTATGGAGAAACCATTAGTAATTTTATTACAAACACTGCTATATTGAGGCATAATGCCACATCAAAAAATTTACTTGCCCGACTTGTCCAATCCTGATGCAAACAAAGCTATAATCCAAAATTGTAACTGGTAACTGCTTGAAAATGTCACCCGTAAATATTGTGCTGTTGTTGAAACCGATCACGAGCGACACCTATCGATACATCCCATATGACATTCCACCCCGCTCATGCCTACATGTTCCACGTGTCACTCCACCAACCTGCAGATCGAGACGCGTAACTCCAGCAGCTCCGCGGAGTTCAAGACCGAGATTGACGGCTACAAGTCTCAGATCCACGGCTACACCCTGGAGATCGAAGGATACAGGTAACCTTCACCGTCCAAATTCCTTGCTCGAAATCTTTTTACAGTGACAGTTTCTTTCCCCGTACGGCCAAGATTTGGAATTCCCTCTCTGACAAGTGTTTCCCACCAACCTACAATATTTACAGGCTTTTAAAGCAAACGTTCACCGCCATCTCTTGACATAGCCATGTTTCTCTTCAATGTCGAGAAGTGGTCGTATAGGCCTTGCATTGAACTACTCGTACTCCGTTAAAAAAAACATGCCCAATTCTTACATAGAACTTTATAGTTTCTCATTGCTAGATTAATGATTTAATGACATGTTTGTGGTATTATCATTATGAGACTAATGCGATGTTACTATGAGACTAAACTCGCAACCCAAATAAAGCCCCTGTCACACATTCACGACCTCCCCCCAAGTTTGTTCCCACACACCAGCCTACCAGGTTCGAAGGACGTTCGGGAGCACTATGACCAGATTTAGGCCACGCCTACGAATAGAAACGAATTTGAGTTAAATTTGAGGCAAATTTAACCCCCGAACACTGCCCCTGGATTGTACGTTGGCTGGTGTTGTGTTGACTTACAACCGAACACCAGCAAACTATTGTCGAACCTCCCGATCAACCCCCGAATGTTTTAATACATGTATATTGAAATAGGCTGGCGCAGCCGAATAGTAGCCAAATTCACCGAACTCCAGCCGACTTTGCGCCGACCTACTCATATCCATGGTTGGGGGGGGGGTATTTAGCTAGTGTTCGAGAGGCCAACTTCGTGAACGTGTGACAGATCTAGAGGCTTAACGTATTGACTTTATTTTACCGACCATTGTCAGGACTGAGATCGCCAGTCTGCAGGACCGTCTCCGTGAGCTGGACGCCAGGCGGGAGCGGGAGGTCCAGGCCAAGGTAGACATCATCAACGGTCTGGAGGGGCAGATCCGGGACCTTAGGACCGAGGTAAACATAGCACAACATTCGCACTTTCATTCATATGTATTTTGTAGGTGGGTGAGTAGGTGGGTGAGTAGGTGGGTGAGTGGGTGGGTGGGTGGGGGGTGGCATTATCATATAGCTAGCACGATTTCACCCAGTTGTGCAAGTTAATAGAAACACTGTATACCATAACAGATCTTATATATTGTTATAATGTAAGACACTGTATGATTCATTGACTTGTACAGTCGAAAGTTTGTGTTCGAAGTTAAAGTTCAAACTTGTTTCATGATTACATCTGTAATAGATAGATATCACAATGTAGCCACTGACCAAAGGTTCTGTTCATATTGCCCAAAGCATAATGAAAATGAATTTCACTTTGTTATGGAATGTACCAAATACATGTATGATGTTTTACGTAACAAGCTACTAGTATTTACATTTCTCGAATCAAGTACAACAGATTTCAAGAGTCTCGATGTTGGAGACAGATTTGAATATATCTTTACATGTAATGGTTCCCACAACGCAAAAATAGGTAGATATATAAAGGACGTCGACGTCTGCTTTGTTATTAGAAAAAATACCGAAACTTGTGATTAGCCCACTCGATTGTAACACTTTATCAAAGACTTGTGCTAGCCCTTACTGTTTGAATGATTAAGATATGTTAGGTTTTATTCGACATTAGGTCTTATTCAACACATTTATTTTATTGTTTGTTACTTTCTTTATGTAGTTTACCATACATTGTGCCATGTGCAATTGTCGAGCAATAAAGTTCATGCATTCATTCATTCAATAAATTACTGTACCCGACTGTCCACCAGATCCACAGCGTGCAGTCCTCGGTTCAGTCCTCGGCGGTGTTTGAGAAGCAGGTGGCCGGGCTGGAGAGCCGCATCACCTCCCTGCAGGGCGAGATCGACAGCAAGCTGGCCATCATCAGGGAGAGGGACACCATGATCGCCGACCTGCGGGCACAGATCGCTCAGCTGAAACGCGACGTGGATGCGGTAAGTGTAATCCTGTAGCCCCGCCCACCTCCGTCAAAACATCATGAGAAATGCAAATTAAATATTTGACGAACATGCAGCCACTCTTTCATTGGTCGAACCACTAATTGCCACGCTATCATTGGTTGAACTTCTAATTGTAATGGACGTTTGGGATTGATTTATTCTGAAGCCAAGCTGATGAAAATCCCCCCCCCCCCCCTAGAACTATCGTAGAGTAAACCTCGCTGCCATGCCACTAAGCATTGTTGGGGCATAATCACTAGATAGCTTTTAAGAGCATCCAATGCGATTTCAGGGCGACAAAACTGTCCTTGCCTGACCTTGCCTGGCCTAGCCTGGTCTGGCCATGATAGTCCTTGCATGGCATGGCCTGGAATAGCTGGCATCATGTGATGGCATCGCCATGAATGGTTTCTGAATTGGTTCAATTTACTCCTCACGTCCTTGGTGTTTTGTCGCCATTTCAAACGCTTCAAGTATGAAATTATGACGAAAATGTGCTAAGAAATTGGAGTAAATATCACTATCAGACAGATTTCTTTATCCAGAATTTTTTTGTTTAGCCGCCCTAAAATGTCATTGGATGCTCTTAAAAGTTGACGGCAAGGGATCGAAGCACTTGACACAGGGTGGGGCTTTCTGACGTTTATAAACACGTTATTTATATAATTACTAACATCTAAAATGTTGTGGGGTCGTGTGGCGTAACGGCAGTGTGAGCGACTCGGAATCAAGAGGTCCCGGGTTCGAGTCCTGACATGCCACTGATCTTGTGCCCTTGGGAAAGGCACTTTACACGACTTTCCCCACTGGACTCAAGTGAAAATCAGTACTGTCTGTCCAGTATTCGTTTCTATGTGCGGGACACAACACCAGCAACAGCTGCCTCTGTTCCGCGTGTATTGCACTGTTGCAATTTCAATAAATCAAATCAATCAAATCAATCAATCAATCAAAAATCATTGAACAGGGCAAGCGTGATGTCGATGCCAAGTGGACACTGGAGATCAACGAGAAGACCAAGATCATCAGCCGCATGGAGTCTGACATGGCGGCCCTGCGCCTGGAGCTGTCTGGCAAGGCAAAGGAATATCAGGTACGTTATGACCTTTATTGTACATCCACATACCCACAGGGTTAAGTACAAATAACAGCAAAAGAATGGCTTGTATATACATATATACATACTTAGTAGATGGACTAGTGCCCACATTGTATTGTTTCGCTGCAATCTCAAGAAAGTCAAAGGCACTAGGAGTAACGAGACAGGCCGGGAAGGTTTGATCTTGACTCAGTGAAATTATCAATTGAAATCTTCCAAAACAAATAAGACGTTGCATCAGTTACGTTGCATCAGTAGTTGCGTAGGAGCACTGTATGGTGAAAGATTTTCAACCACTTCTAAACAGTCGTGACTTGTAAACTTCGTGGTTTCGTGGAGCTAGGTCCGAGATCTCCGAACTCTTCGATAACCCAAAATAGAATACACGTTCTGTTCCAATGTTCCAGTGAACTCATGAATTACTGTCAAAACACCGTCCCACCATACACTATACATATAATGTACGGATTTTTTAAAGGTCAGGAATATTTTTCTGGCACTTCTAACACCCCAGAGAGACGTTAGGAATGCAAGAATATTGTTTCCGACCATTTCCAAAAGAAATAGTTACTTTGCAAAAATTAGCCTAGCCTGTATCATTGTCATCATTGTCATCCTTGTTGTTCTCCCAGTCCCTGCTGGAGGCCAAGATGATGCTGGAGAAGACCCTCCGTGAGTCTGAGGACCGTCACAAGAAGGAGCTGCGCGGGAAGGAGGACTTCATCCACGAGCTGGAGCGGGAGAAGAACGAGCAGATCGTGAGGCTGGAGCTGGCGCTGAAGGAGCTGCGGGGACAGATCGACGGGAAGGCGTCCGGCTACGACGAGCTCAACCGCGCCAAGCTGGCCCTGGAGAGGCAGCTGCAAGAGATGGAGAGCAGGTCTGTAACTTTTATAAGAGGTTCATCAATCAGTGACTGTTTTGAAAGGTAGAAAACACGTACCTCTACATTTAACAAAATGGCAGGAGGAGAAGAAGGAGAAACACCAGAGACCACAATATGTTTCACCACACCACTTCATGGAGTACGTATTGTGGTAGATAGTAGCATTTGGACAATCGCACACCGGGGCATGCCCCTACTGTTTTTGAAAGAAGTAGTAATAGTGAGATATTTATGTTCTAACACGCCGTGACGGGACCTCCATTTAACGTCAGTATCCAAGGGACGTCCCTAACCAAAGCTAGGTACTCATTTTTACCTGGGTGGAGTGAGGAAAGCAGTGTAAAGACACAACATCGGGGCATGCATGTTACTCATAATTGATCCTTCGTGTTACTCCACTGTTCCCGGTGACCAGGTACCAGAGGGAGCTGAGTGAGAAGACTAAGATGATCAGTAGTCTGGAGACGCGCGTCAGCACCACCTCCGTCAGCCAGTCTACCGAGCTGGAGGGTCGCTTCAAGGGCCAGATCAGCAGTCTGGAGGCACAGGTATGTGCCTATTTGGATTTTCTACAGTGTGAAAGGGAGGGCAAAACAAGTACAGGTTGCCCTCCCACTGCGTACAGCAACATATGTTCCAGAAGGGGGGGGGGGGGTACTGATTACGAATTATGCAAAATTTTTGCCGCCGATTACGAATTACGTTTACGCCTCATAGCTGATTACGACTTTACGCTTTGTGGCTTATGTACTGTTACGAATTACGGTGGCTTTTGGGGAGACTGCCTACGGATTACGAAGACTAAAAAGGCATGATTACGCCTTACGAAAAAGGGCATGTAGGCCCCCCAACATCCCCATCAAGCTCATTCAGAACCTTTTCCTCGAACACCAACAGGCCATGGTTGAAGTTCGGGAGCAGTCTGAGCAGATTTAGGCCACGCATTCCTTTCGACTGCCAAACACACCTCGACCCACGCCCGAATACTAGCCAACCATTGCCGATCTTACGGTCCACACCGGTACCCGAATGTTTTAAACATTTCTAAACATTCGGCTGGCGGTTGGGGGTAGTTCGGCTCGTGGTCGGGAGGTCAAATTCGTGAATGTGCGACTGGGGATGTGACATTCTTTCAGACTCAAATATAACGCCATCACCCGTAAATGTGTCTTTAGCTATCTTTTCTAACACCATGCTTTCCAACAATGAGTATTTGTCCGTGTTATCTGCAGCTGACCAGCCTCCGGGGCGAGCTGGCCGCCATGACCCGGGAACGGGACATGTACCTCCGGGAGAGGAACGAGCTGCGCGTGGCGCTGGAGTCCGTCACGTCCGAGAGGGACCTGTGCTTCCGCGAGCGGGCCGAGCTGAGGGCTAGTGCAGCGTAAGTACAGGCCTTCAAATCGCTTTGCATCCTTCAGGGTTCGAAATACCTTTTCTTAGGTTGCCTACTGGGAAACCTAAACCAAAAGTAGCTTGCCCGTCAATATTCCAGATTGCCTTCAACACCGGCTGTTTATTTTAGAAGGCAAGCCGTAAGCCAGGACACCTGTGAAGGTAGTGTTCACATGCTGGCTGAGGCAGGCACAGTTTATTCTAGACGTCTTAAGCTGGGCCGCTGTAAACTTTGAAGAGGCCACTTTGTATGTTTAAACCTAGCGGCTCCATTAAGTCTCACACAGAAAACATGACTTGCACGGTGAGAGTGGACTCTGCAGTCGACTATGAAAATCCACCTGTTTCTTTGTTTTGTAGAAGCAAGACCGTCGTTCAGGAGGTGAAGCAGACCGTTGTTGAGGAAGTGAAGGCAGTAGAGACCCCCGGTAAGTCTTGCATGACATTATACCATCTGCTCATTCCTTTTAATGTTATATAATGTAATAAGCAATGTAAGTTAAATATCCCATAGCATGCTGATATCTTTGAGGCAAAAATGCGATGTCGCTGACGGAAAACGGTTGCTTTTTTTGTATCGTAGGCTGGTTCTAGATATTTATGGGTGGGTAGTATATAGACTTTATCACTATGACCTGTAGTAAGCCTCATTCATTCATTTATTCATTTATTCATTAATTGTTTGACATCATGTCCTCCACAGCCCCCCGAAGGTCAGGTGGCTTCATCCGTATGAACTTCTCAAAGAAGGACCTGATGTCGATCTTAGTCCAGTACAAGTTCTTCATGACCTACATGCTGAGCGGCGTGAGTCTGACTGAGCGCAGCGGATCGCTAGTCTTGGAGCAGAAGGCTGCTGTTGTGAGGTGGGTCGTGGTCTCTATTTATTCATTCAGAATTGTTAGCCTTCTTACCAAACCTAATAGCTCCCGAGTCCTACATCCTCTCCGCAGAGGATGTAGGACTCGGGAGCTATAATAGGTTTGGTAACCAGGCTACAGAATTGTAACATGACAGTACAAAGTGTACACTAGGCAGCAAGTATGCTGATAGCGTGCACACCTAACACATACCTGGACATATGACATAGGAACAATTAATAGTTAAAACAAGATATATACACAATTAACATTATCCAATGAATCACACCTGCAAAAAAACAGTTACTCAAGCAACTGGATATGATTTTGAAAACGTCAGACGTTTCAGCTAGTATCCACTAGCTTTCGTCAGTGACTGAGAGACCAGAGGGGAAAGCAGGTTTATATACACAACCTGTTGATTGATATGCAAATAAAGTGAAGACAAATTTTTGGAAGTCGAAAAAGGAACAAAAGTCAGACAAGTCAAGACAAGATGATGCAAATTAGTCTGAAAGCTCCTGTTATACAGGACAGGAGCTTAAGTGTTGTCTGTCCTCGGGGCTGGGAGTGCCAAATCCCAAGTGCCGGAATTTTGTCTTCACTTTATTTGCATATCAATCAACAGGTTGTGTATATAAACCTGCTTTCCCCTCTGGTCTCTCAGTCACTGACGAAAGCTAGTGGATACTAGCTGAAACGTCTGACGTTTTCAAAATCATATCCAGTTGCTTGAGTAACTGTTTTTTTGGCATATCGTATTACCTGGATGTCTAACCTTCATCGACGAATCACACCTGCAATTTCAATAATCAATTTTATAACTGTACAGCAAATAATTGTTTGGTGTGGCTCAGCTGGAAGAAGCACAGAATCTTTTTGATTGGCAATGAACGTGTGGAGTGCATCAGTGGTCTCTAGCTACATACTACTAGTACTATTAGGTATTGCTTTACAAAAGAAAGTATTGTAGCAGACAGAAACGTTTAACGTACGCTATGTCAATACGCCATATTCCTGTAGTTATGGTTTTTAGAATAGTACTGTCGAACTGACTGCTTTGTCATTGTTGCCATACATGTGCATTGTACCCTGTACATCTGTGGATCCATTCATTCATTCTTTCATACATTCATTCTTTGCATCCTTTATTCCTCCATCCTTGCAGAAAAAACATTTAAAAATACATACATGTATAACTAAAAACGTTACAACATAAAATACAACTTTTGTCACACAAACAAGTGGTCTAATAATACATTCTACTGGGTCCTAAATTTAAAAAGTCAAGTTCTCGCTAACCACTTTTCCACTAAGGATTTTCAAAGTATGAAATACAACATGTCGTTCATTTCTTCCTTGCATTCACACACCAATCCCTCTTGCCGCCGATACAGCCAGAACCAGTTGTGGAACCTGGAGGATAAGGTGATCATCAGCTCGTCCAGCGGCCTGGCTCTGGAGGTGAAGAGCGGCCGCTGTGAGCTGGGAGCCGAGGTGGTCCTGTCCCGCCGTACAGGATCGAAGGCACAGAAGTGGGATGTAAGTAAAAAAAACAACAACACACACACACAAACTAGTTATCTATGATCATCATAAAACGATTAAGTTAAAAACGTAAGTTAAAGTCCTCCCGCAACCATTGGCATACAGGGTACAACTCCAGCCCTAAAGAATCCTACCTTGTCTCTTCTCTCACGCACTCAAACGAGCTTTGAAAAACCATCTGATTAACGAACCTAGCCCCCTGTAGTAGTTTTATTTAGTGTTTTCTCCTATTATAGCTCATACCAATTATTACCATTACCTTATTTTCATTGTCATTAACTTATACCATACATTATTTCATTATCCTTATTGTATTATTTCCATTTTCTATTGTATTATTTCCATTTATTAATTATATTTAATTTTGTATGGTTTAGAGGAGGAGGGCCTAGTATAAGCATGCCATGCTTCTCCCCTCCTCGTGCACCTGTTTTATCATTGTTTTTATATTATTATTGTCCGTCTTGTCAATGTGCAAACAATAAAATCAATAGTCACTTATGGCGGCGGCGCCCATCTCCGTTTCCGTAGCCCTTGGGGCACACAGTTGCGCAATCACTACAGCAGGGGCCTCGTCCACTGGTAGTGGTGTATGTTTTACTACCATACTCTTCTCAAACGCTGTGTGAAAGCGGTATGTACCAAGCGATTAAGGTGTATAAAATTAAATGTTGCGTTATAGGCTCAGTCAAAACTAGGGTCGGTAGGTAGGGGTTTTCTCTATTTTTAGTTTGCCGCCTGAGGGCCTAGTTTTTGGTGAGACGGATTTCCTCCGTGGTCCCGTTTTTAATTGGGGTATAACAAAAGATAACAAAATAAAAATAAAGGAGAAGAGAAACAAGGGTCTTTTTAAAACTATTTTAAAAAAAACTTTTCGACGTTATTGAGACTCAGACAAAAGAAGGAGGACAGAAAAAATAATTTTGGAGTATAATGTCGAATCAAATAAACGAATTAACATTTGATTGACGTTAATTCCCTGTGATTTTGTTTCAGATCGACTCAGATGAGATCATCACGTCGGCCCTCGGTGACCTGATCCTGGACCTTGTCGATGGGAAACTCGTCCTGAACAAGCGTGGTGCGACCGGCAAGCGTCAGGACTGGAACCTACAGATCTACCAGTAGTTGTGTGCCAGTCTAGATAATGTGAACCAGATTTAGAACAAGGTCTTAAAGGCATTCAATGCTATTCCAGGGTGGAAAATTGGATTATCAAAGTCAATGTTCTGGCCATTCTTATAGTGTAGGAAGTCGAATTAACTTTATCATACGGCATACTGATATATCTGTGAGGCAAAAATGTGATGTCGCCGAAAGAAAACGGTTGCTTGTTTCGTATCGCAGAGTATTTATGGGTGGCACCCAGAAATAGAGGGACTCCTCACGTAGCTAGTGTTTTGGGTTATTACAAAGGCTCCAAGTATGGCAGTAATTGTCAATATCGGACAGATTTCCTCATCCAGAATAGTTTTTGTTTTTCCACCCTGAACACCCTGAAATTGCATTGGATGCTTTTATTGATTCTGGCTACCTATTTTTTCTCTATTTTTTAAAAAGTAATTTTAGAGTAATAATGAAATATATATCATGGGCTTTGGTACTAGTATTTAACAATGGTTGTGATCCGCTTGTTTAGTAAAAAAAATGAAAATTGTCGACGAACAAAAACAGATTTAGTGTTGTTAACAAGGCCTAGCTAGGCATGTGGTGTTTTGGGGGGTCATACAAAAATGTGATATTGTGTTTGCTTATTTTTTGTCGATGGTGATCTATTTACGTGGTGTATTTACGCATCCATTTTTTTTTCATTTCAAAATACATTTTCCCTGCGCTAGGGTAAAGAGGCGTGGTGTGAAGACGTACCAATCATTCATTCTCAGGAAACCAAGCAACAATGTGGTAGTTTCAAGACCCAAAGGATAACATTTTTCGTAACATAAACTAAGTAAGATGGTTTCTAACATTGGAATATGGTGTATTTTACATTTTAATAACAGCTTCGTACGGTAAGATGGTGGAATTATGGATTTTGCATAACCTGTTATTCGTAGGTTGACCTCTTGTAGGAGAATTACATCGAAGAATAAGAACAAGCTATGTCGCTATGTTAGAACGGAATGCTGCCACATTGCCGTGGACTTGCTACGATGTTTTCATAATGTATGGCAAAGGAAAGCACAATAAATAAAGACATACAGTATTTCACCGAACTTCGTGTGTTGATTATGTTCATCATAAATGTGTATATATGATGATCACTACAGAATGTTGCTAAGCCAGGAGCTATCATAATGTACAATAACGCAGCGTTGTGTATTTGGAAGGTAGTGGAAGCACTTGGAGTAAGGGTACAGTAGGGAAGTTGCCGGCAGTATTGACTCAAAACCCTGTCACACACATTCACTCACACACTTTCTCCCGAACACCAGCCGACCAAGGTTGATCGAAGTTCGGGAGTCTGACCAGAGACGGTGACTGACAAGCCTTTTTATACGAATGGAATCGAGTTTGAGTTAAATTTGCGTCAGATTCCAATGTCAACCATGCTCCAACCTACTTCCGAAAACCAGCCAACCACCAGCCAAACCATGACCAAGCCTCCCGTTACTGAATACAATTATGTTATAACATTTTGAAACATTCGGCTGGCGCAGCCGAACAGTACCCGACCCGCGGGAAGAACTCCAGCCGACCTTGCTCCCGACGTTGTGAGTGAGTGAGTGAGTGAGTGAGTGAGTGAGTGAGTGAGTGAGTGAGTGAGTGAGTGAGTGAGTGAGTGAGTGTGTGTGTCAGTGTGTGTGTTTGTGTGTGTGTGTTGGCCGAACCTGTTGTCCACACCCGAATATGTTTTGATTAATCGTTTAAAACGCCAGCCGACCGCGCCGAACACTAACCGACCTGGACAGGGGCTAATGTTTTTGTACCTTTATTTGTACCAATAAGTATCACATATATTCAATTAGTGCTTGACAGATATCGATGAGCGAGTGGGACAGTTTTGCTACACCGTACTATCTACCAGATACAAGTATTTGTTACATGGAGACATGGACATCAACATAGAGTCCAAAACTACGTAAACAATTTTGGAATAAGCAGCTACGTGGAATTACTATTCCTACATGTGACAACTACAATTGTGATTACTACATCTACATGCACGTTTTTGCTTTAATTTGGATTATAATATATTGCTATCGAGTTGGTCCAATTCACAAAAGTTTACAAACCACAACAGTACAAGCAGTGAGTGTTGTACAGATTCTGTTTCTGCTTTGTGTTTAAGAGTTCATTTAAGAAACTCTTATGCGCCAAAACTTAAACAGTTGCAGTCCCAACAGGTGTAAACAGCCCCGCCTACTTTAGTGTTCACATGATTTGATAGCAAAGTAGTTTTATGGACGAAGTTGCTGTTTGGAACAGACCATTTGCATCTAACAAAGAAAACTATTTTTTTTTGTCAGACTAGTTGTCTGTAAGAATCTTACTGGTTATCCCTTATAAACAGCGATTTGAATTGGATTAGTTTAAGAATGTAACGTTATGTGAAACATCAAATTGAATGTTGTGTACACGTGCCCACCCCTGTCCCCTTTTGGTTCGTCCCTCTTTGGAGTTCTCGTGACCCCAAAACAAAACATGACGACTTCCGCAAAGTTTCTTCCCGTTATAAATGTTTGGGTAATTTTCCTGGTCTGTAGTATTCCCTTTAGCGTATCCCAGGCCAGTTTTCCCTTCAGGAACACGTCCTTGCCATGGCAGGACCGCGTGGACGATCTGGTCGGCAGGCTGACGATGGAAGAGGTGATCGTGCAGATGTCGAGGGGAGGGGCGCACGAGAACGGCCCCGCGCCCGCCATCCCGCGGCTTGGCATCCCGCCGCACCAGTGGAACACCGAGTGTCTCCGGGGGGACCCCGAGGCAGGGCCCGCCACGGCCTTCCCGCAGGCTCTCGGGCTGGCAGCGACATTCAGGTATCGATCACAACTACATACACGTAACAGTACACTCACAGATACACATCCGTGTCCATAAATCACCAGGGTCCATAATATCGCCACCTTGAGAAATACTACTAAGTAGTGTGCTTTAAGATATTTTTACTGCAACATACCCTAGTTATTATTTTTCTGGCACCTAGATGTTAACTTAATAAGAATATGCTGTATACTACTACATGTATAATTATACATTTAACATCCTTTTAATTTAAAAGGATGTTAATAATACATATGTAAAACCCAAGAATTTCAAAATACTCCAGGGTACACCTGTGAAACTTGGGTGCAGTAGTATTAATTAAGGTGCACATGCATGTACCCAGTATTTCGAGCCCTGGTGCACTCTCATATATTGCAGTATACAGTATCCTCACTAAACAACACTTTTGAGGTTAAACTTCAAAGGTTCAATAGGTGTGACAGGACCATTGTTCAGTGTGGTATTGTGGTATAACCGGCTGCCGCCGCGCCACATGCCTGCAAAGTTGGTGTGTTCATACACCGAAGCCCTTTATACCTTGTATACAGATAGGATTGTAATGATTGTTCTAACTATACAGTAGCAACCTTTCTTTTTCTAGTGACAGAAACTTAAGTGTAACTTTAATGTTGCCCCTTTAGGTTCGGACCAGGTGCACATTAATACTGTTATGTTACAATTGATAAATCTTACACCTGAAGGTGAATTTCTATCTCTTCAAATAAGTTAAAACTCAGAAGTGCTGCTGCAGTACCTTAGAAAGCCGCTAGAATGCCCATAATCGAACTTGACCTTCGCATGTCTCACCTTATCCTACTGACATTTATCCCACTGATTATGAAAATAATTGACCTTGACCTTTGTTGTTCCAACACAAACTTACCTACCTTACCTATCAAATATTAAGCTACATGCACAACACAACAAATTATAACCGATTAAAAAACTGAAATATGGTGTATCTAATGCATAACCTTCTCTTCAAAGGTAATAAGGCCACACCGACTTAATTTTATGGATGACATCCGCGTGCACATTGATTTTCGCCTGTTCTCAAAAAAAAAAAAGGATCACGTCATTCGAGGCTCTGGCCTGGATAGTCCATGGTAGCTTGCTAGATAGCGACAGTACGGAGCCGGTGGTAACTCCGGAGGATGGCACCCAGGCTACCAAAGCTCCACGACTCAAGACCTCAGTACATACGTACAGTGTTGATTCATAAATCAACACAGTTCTACCGCAAATTCACAATACCAGCTTTGCTTTTGTATTCCTGTGCTTTAGTAGCATTTTTTTTGGGGGGGGGGCCGGATTTTTATTTTATTCGCCCGCGCGCACTAGTTTGGGGGTCTTCAGAGGATGTCATCCATAAAATTAAGTCGGTGTGGCCTAATTTGTAAACTGCGATTTCCCACCCAGTACTGAAGTAATCCATGCGGTAGCGGAGGCCACGTCTAGAGAGGTGCGGGCCAAGTACAACAACTACACCCAGCATCAGGAGTACGGAGATCACACCGGCATCAGCTGCTTCAGTCCTGTCATCAACATCATGAGACATCCTCTCTGGGGCAGGAACCAGGTACAGGACTTTTTTACTTGGGGCCACAACAACTGGGTTTGTTGGTTATCAGATTTTTTTAAAAGGTGTTGTGGGTTCTTTAATGTGCATGGGGTGTGGCTCTCCCCAAACATGGGTCCTCCCTAAACAAAGCTTGTTAAAGATCCCACCACACTTATTACAAAGACTAAGCGTCCTTCCTGGTGTTAGTGGTTCAAACCTTACACAGTCTTGTCTCAGGGTTAACATCTTTAAAGAAATGATAGTCACCTGTTTCATCAATCCTTCCGCATATGTGCTAAATCTTCAAATTTTTTTTCAGAAACATTGTGTAGCCTCTACCAGGCTTCAGGGGGCGGCTGGAAAGAGTAAGTTGGCCAAATAGAGAGATAATATATGTCAAGGGAGTTGGTCTGCTAATTCGGATTCGGCCAATTTCTACTCTTTCCAGCTCGCAGCCTCCTGAAGCCTGGTAGAGGCTAAAACACGTGTACCGTATATTCCTGTTCAGGAGACCTATGGAGAGGACCCTTACCTGAGTGGGAGCCTGGCACAGAGCTTTGTGCAGGGTCTACAGGGGGACCATCCCCGCTACATCAGGACTAATGCAGGCTGTAAGCACTTCGACGTTCACGGAGGTCCTGAGAACATACCGTCCTCCAGGTTCAGTTTTGACGCTAAGGTAAGCCTTATGAATGATATATGGAGTTTGGCAAAAAAATAGAACAGGTTCAGAGGACAATAAAAAGCAGAACTAAACCATATTTTAACTCACCAATCCCCTACTTTGCTAGACTGCTGAATGATTGGAATACAGCCTGATTGTGCAGCACAGAGGACTTCTTAAGATTCCAATTGTTGTTAAATGCTGTTCGTAATTATGACAATGAGTATTTTTAGTGATACAGTTATCACGTGGGTCAGAACACCTGTATCGAGCATCATTGTGTCCCATTATGACATGAAAAGAAACATCTTATCAAAGGGAATATGTCTAGCAAATACATGTACTAGTGATGTTCTATCACTATCAGGTAGCAATCTAAGCTGTACATGTATATCAAGGCCAGTATGGAATCAGCTACTTTAATTCTGAATGGAAATTTGTTCTTTGAACGTGATTTATTCTTATCATAGTTACAGATCTACTGTCCTATGAAGTATATAACCAGAAATTATGAAACACTGCTTATATTACTTCATGAATGACGTCTGTAGTCAACCAACCAACAGGTGTCAGAGAGGGACTGGCATATGACGTTCCTGCCACAGTTTCAGAAGTGTGTGGAGGCTGGGACATACAGCATCATGTGCAGTTACAACAGGTATCTATCTGTATCTGTATATAGTCCGTGTAACCGCCCTTCAGTGTAACACACCAGCTTCACATACAGGCACACTTTGCGGTGGCAGCTGGTTACATTACACTGAATGACTTGTTACACCCAACCTTGAACATCTAACTCTAAACACTAGCACCCCTTTCATTATAAGTTGATCAGAATCTTGTAGCTTGATTCTGCACCCTTTCCAGTTTGTCTTTCTTTGTATATGGATCCCAAACCGTCGCGGCATATTCTAGGTTTGGTCTTACATTTAGCGATGTGTATGCAAGTGATTTTACTCTAGTTGGGCATGCCCACAGATTACGTTTGAATACTCCTAATGTCGGTTTAGCCTTAGTTGCAATATGTTAGGTCTGTTCATTCTTCACTGTTACCACCTATGAAGTATTAAAAAAAATAATGGAAATGTTTCCTGAACAGTTTTTGTTATGAATCATACTTCTCAAAATCTGAGTGGTGCAGGTAAACTTTGTCTGGTGCAGGTAAGTATTTCGAGCCCTAGTATGCTATATGTATTAAGTTAATTGAACAAAAACCTCCTGTGTTTTTCTGCAGTATCCGAGGCGTGCCAGCCTGTGCCAACAAAGAACTCCTGACGGACATCTTGAGAGACAGCTGGGGCTTCCATGGTTATGTTGTGAGTGACGAGGGCGCAGTGGAGAACATCATGCTGAAACATCAGTAAGACAGCAATAACTGGATTATCAGGGGGGGCTGAAAACAGCTGGGATTTAGATAGTATGGTGTTCAGTTCAGCTAAGGGCTAGATACAGGTACCAGTACAGAGGTTTAGGTACAGGTCTGGATCTGCAGTACCTGTACCTTAATAATGGGACAAATTGAGAAATGTTCTTCTGAACATCTTCAATAACATTAGAAACATAATAAACTTGACAGAACTACATAATTTACCTTTAGTACATGTTATTCAAACAAAACAGAACCATGTTGTGGATTGTTTCTTGTTCAATTCCTATAGTGTCCTACAATACTCTAGCTGTTCTTGAAAGATCTCATGAGTAGTAGTTATGTTCCCTCTACATGTATACATGTCACTTTGGTCAACAGTGTCGCATGAGGCCTTGAAGGTTGTATAAATTTATACTGGTAAAGTACCAATACTTAGTGATTCAGTATTTTAGACATCTTTTCACAGTATCACAGTAATGTACAGCTACACAGTACTGCTACTAGTGGTGCATACCTAAACCCACATTTAGGTTCTGAGGTCCAGATTCAAGTCCAGAGGTTTAGGTTCAGTTCCTGACTTGTAAGTCCGGACCTAAACCCATGACATATACAAAATTGCATGTTGGCAACCTTGCAATGTTGTCTGGGTGAAACTTTGGCCACATAACAAGGAGGCCGGTACTTGACGATGCCCGATGGCAATGTTTCCTTCATTTTGCAGCAAAGATTTTGCAATTTACGGAGGGTTTTAGATGATTTGGAAAGAAAAGGGGTATGTGAAATGGTTTTTTATGGTAAGTGAAAAGTGTAAGTGTAAGTCCGGACTCGGTTCTTGACTTTTAGGTTTTTTTGGACTTGAACCTAAACATTCTTACAAGTCCGGATCCAAGTCCAGTGAACCGGTATGCATCACTAACTGCTACACAGCTCTACCCCTACTCTGACTATCTGTTTATAGTAAATTATAGTCTTTGTGATCTGTTCTTGCACAGCTACACGAAGACATTTGAAGAGACAGCAGCGGCAGCTGTGAATGCTGGTACAAACCTGGATCTGACCGTATCCAAGCTGACCAATGCATACGACCACATCAGTAAGGCTGTTACAAGTGGACTTATCTCAAACCAGGTTAGAAGTTTACCACGCATACAAAGTAAAGTCAAACTTGTCCAAGCAACCTCTTCTATAATCCGGCCAACTGGCCATAACAACAGCTTTTTCTCGGTCCCAAATTTTTCCCCCCATATACGTGTTACTAAGCATTAAGGGACTTGCCTAAGCCAATTGTCCAACACAACGAACTGCAACACAAACTGTAAGACATGACCCAATTTCTGCCCATCCACATCAGTTTGATGCATGTTTAAAGTTCAAACTTTTGGTCCAACACAAAAAAATTCTATCACCTAGAGCTTTCGACCAGTCACTTTGGTCTTTCTCAGTAGACTGACCCAGTGTGGCTTGTCACGTGGCTTCTTTGAAGTGTGACATCAACACTGGGTCAAAGGTATCTGGTAGATGAAGTTTTGACTTTAAACATGTAACTACTGACACAGATGAACTTTTATGAAAGTTTGATACATATTTCTATTATAATATAAGACAAAGGATTTTGCAGATATTTTGACAAAATCAGTGTTGTGTCCCTTGATTTTCAGACGCTAACAGAGCGTGTGAAGCCCCTGTTCTACACCAGGATGCGGCTGGGAGAGTTTGACCCCCCACAGATGAACCCCTACAGTAAGCTGTCCGTGACAGATGTGGTACAGAGTGCTGAACACAGGGAGTTAGCAGTGGAGGTGGCACTCAAGACATTTGTACTGCTGAAGAACAACGACAGCGTGCTACCACTGGCTGGGAAAGTCACCACTCTCGCTGTAAGTATATTCATATGTCACATGCCTTTTTAAAGGCATCCAGTGCAATTTCAGGGCGGCAAAACAAAAATATTTAGACAAGGAAATCTGTCTGATATTGACATCTACTGCCATTTCTTAGCACATTTTTGGCATCATTTCATACTTGAAGTATTTGAAATAGCCCCAGAACAAGCTACGTGAGGCGGCTCTTTATGTTTTGGGTACCACCCATAAATAGTTTGAACTAGCGTACACTACAGCAACCGTTTTCTGTTAGACATTGCACAGATATCAGGCTATGGGATAGGGTTGATTCAGCTTATATATACTCTGCATGAAAACATTGACCAGAAAATTTACTAATATTGCATAGGATGCATTTAAAGATTACAATCTTGATGATGATGATGATGAACTGGTTTATTTATTATTCACAACACACATACCATTGCAGCCTTACATGGCTGAATTGGGGCATGATACACTTTAAAATTTATCAAGAATGGTTCAGCAACTCGACAAGAAAAGGTAAAACACTATTCTTAAACCTAGACGTCCTGCAGCTAAACTGTGTGAAGTTGTCCTTTGATCTCAGATCTCTGCCATGTAGGCTTCCACATTTAGGAGGGAGCCAACTAGAGAAGGTGGGGGATTTAGCTATCGACATTGCAAAGTTCATACAGAGGTTACGGCGTCTCAAGTACAAGGGTGTGAGTGATAGTTTCTCTATTGCTCTGTAAGAGTGGATATAGATGTGCTAAGGGACTCCTACATGGACACCGGCCTGTTTGTGATGGGTACCGGTGATCTCACAAGAGTTTAAGTTAAAGAAATTCCCTCCCCACTCACACACACACAGACATACCAAATACAATACCCCCTTTGGTCATGGAGGTAATTAACACAGTTATGCTTGTTTGTTTCTCACATGTAGGTAGTTGGCCCCTTTGCTGACAACCTTGGTGCCCTGTACGGAGACTATGCACCTATTCCTGATCCCAAATTCTCATCAACACCTTTGCAAGGTGCATGCTTTAGCCTTATATGTTTTGATCAGAAAAGCAACTCAATAATGATTTTTAAAACTATTTATATCGTCACAGAGCATGAAAAAGTCTAGTTTCTTTAACAGGCCTTACGAGATATCTTTATGGGCACGCTTAGTTATAAATTTTTTTTGCTTATTTGTTACTACCATTATGTATCAAATATCTCTGTCACTTTGGACACTAGAAATTCTTGTTTTTGTATTTAGGCCATGTTGATTTGATTATATGGATGACATCCTCTGGGAACCCCAAAACTGATGCGCGCGTGCGAATAAAAAAAAAGTTTTGCAAAAAAAAAAGTTGTTTTCATTATGGAATCTACGTGGTCATGAAGGTTGAACAAATGACACAGAATATGTTATGGCGAATAATCTACTCTTCGAATTCATTTCTTTATATTTTTGTCTTTTTTCCTTTGATTTTGGCATTCTACGACATTGGTATCGTTTCTAAATGTTTTCCTTGCAACTTATGGTATATTTTTGCGCGATCGTTTAGCAACTGTTTTGCACGATTTACAGTATGGTTGAAAACTTTTTTTTTTTCTTGGAAACAGCCGAAAATTCATGCGCGCGCGGATGTCATCCATATAATCAAATCAACATGGCCTTACGTAATGGCAGATGCCTTACAATATTCCAAAAATAGGTAAAGCATAAGAAATTAGGGTTTCTTTTTACACAACTGGTATAGACTCTTGTTTGCCTATGTGTGGATTGTGTTCAGCACTAGGGACAGGTATGTTTACCTGTGTGTGGATGGGATTCAGCACCAGGGATAGGTGTTTTTACCTGTGTGTGGATTTTTTTTTGCAATACATCATGTCTTTCAGACACCTTTCTCTGAGCTTCTGAGTGGAGTATTCTGACTGGAGCTTTTCGCTGCTATATGTAGCAGTACTCCAGTTAGAAGCTCTGAGGAAGGTGTCTGATAGACATATGTAACCAGGTGAGAGTTGTGTTCATCTGTTGTGTAACAAGAAACCCTAATACCCTCTGCCTTGTAATATTGATGGCTAATTCATTGATTACATAGGACTGTCTTGCCTTGCTGGAAAAACCCAACATGGTGCAGGGTGTAAGGGGTCGGACCCTGTTTGTGAGGACTATGATCAGCAAGACGTCAAGATGGCAGTGGAAGGAGCAGACCTAGTGGTGGTGTGTCTGGGGACAGGTGAGGCAAGACTTAAGATGACTAGTGTCAATTTGGAACGGTCAATTTTGATTTGAAATTGCTCTAGGTCAGGCATGGGGACAGGCATGTTTGCCTGTGTGTGGATGGTGTTCAGCACCAGGGACAGGCATGTTTGCCTGTGTGTGGATGGTGTTCAGCACCAGGGACAGGGGTGTTTGCCTGTGTGTGGATGGTGTTCAGCACCAGGGACAGGGGTGTTTGTGTGTGGATGGTGTTCAGCACCAAGGACAGGCATGTTTGTGTGTGGATGGTGTTCAGCACCAAGGACAGGTGTGTTTGTGTGTGGATCGTGTTCAGCATCAAGGACAGGTATGTTAACCTGTGTGTGGATGGTGTTCAGCACCAAGGACAGGTGTGTTTGTGTGTGGATCGTGTTCAGCACCAAGGACAGGTATGTTAACCTGTGTGTGGATGGTGTTCAGCACCAAGGGCAGGTGTGTTTGCCTGTGTGTGGATGGTGGTCAGCAGCAAGAACATGGATGTTTGCCTGTGTGGATGGTGTTCAGCACCAAGGACATGTTTGTTTGCCTGTGTGTGGATGGTGTTCAGCACCAGGGACAGGCATGTTTGCCTGTGTGTGGATGGCATTAAGCACCAAGGACAGGGGTGTTTGCCTGTGTGTATATGGTGTTCAGCACCAGGGACAGGGGTGTTTGCATGTGTGTGGATGGTGTTCAGCACCAGAGACAGGCGTGTTTGCCTGTGTGTGGATGGTGTTCAGCACCAGGGACAGGGGGTGTTTGCCTGTGTGTGAATGGTGTTCAGCACCAGGGACAGGTGTGTTTATATGTGTGTGGATATTTACTTCATTATTGTAATAGCCATGTGGCTTTTCCGTGGCTTCAGGTGCTGCTATAGAGAGTGAAGGAAGGGACCGTGCTGACCTCTCCTTGCCCGGCAAACAGCTTCAGCTGCTGAAGGATGCTGTCAGCTATGGTATGTCAACTATGTGGTATAACATGCAAAAGCCACTTGTTCTTGTACACATTTTACTCATTTTACCAAACATCTGCAGCAAAGAATTTGCCAATCGTGTAATTTAGATGAAATCGGTGTAGAAATCAGAGACATCCTCTATACTTGTATACAAGATTTCTAGTTTTTTTTTAGACATTTAGATAGAACAGAAAAATTTGTATTCCTTATTAAACTAGACAAAGCAAGTATCATGTGCTCCATATGTTTATACACGTAAAACTGCCTTAAGAAGCGAGAAGATGAAGTCATTGAAGTGTACATTAGTTTGAATAGTTTTAGTAAGATATTACTGCAATTTTTACTTTTGCTTTATACCTGACCTGTACTTAGGTTGCAAGAGCTTAAACATACATACAATAAAGGTCTTGCATTCATTTAATCACTAATTTTAGACTGTGAGGTAACCTTGTACATGTTGAAGTCATTATTGTATGATTTTGATAATAATAACCTCTTGTTTATTATTTTTTTTGACACATTTTTCAGAATAGCCTCAAGGCCACACCAAACTAATTTGTTGGTTCTCGGATTCACCTCTTCATTTTTTTCTGATTCTGGTTCTAAATCAACTCAAATGTGCTCATATTTTGCCCCCAACAGTTGAGGAAAGTCCTTTTCTTCCTAGCTGTTACATTTTTCCATCTATCAATGCAGCAGTTTGATTAAAACTTCAAAATTCATGGTTTAAATTATTAACCCAGCCTTTTGTGTTGACTTTATGGCTCCTATCATAGCATTTAGGGCTATAATAGGATGCCTAGACCTGTTTTATTTTTCGCCCTGTCACTTCATATTTTTTCTGGAAAAAAACGAGAACCAACAGATTAAATTGGTGTGGCCTAACATTTGTTTTCAATGCAGCCTCCTCCAAACCAGTTGTTCTCCTGTTGTTCAATGCTGGACCATTGGACATCTCTTGGGCAAAGGACAACGATGCAGTGAAGGCGATTGTGGAGTGTTTCCTCCCAGCACAGGCCACAGGGGAGGCACTGAGAAGAATGTTTCTCAATGAAAACAATGCCAACCCTGCAGGCAGACTGCCCTTCACATGGCCAGCAAGCATGGACCAGGTAGGTGCAGTACCGGCTGTGAGAGATAGGGGTCACTTCTGCTCCATGTAAATTTCTCAAATGTCTGAGAGAACATAAAGTGCTTCCCTGTAGGTATCAAACATATCAGTAGTAATGAGGAGAAGCAGATTGACAACAATTTGAACAATGACTTTATGGAGAAATGATTTTGACACGAAATAGTCAAATGTTGTCAATCTATATTTGACTATTTCGCGTCAAAATCATTTCAAATGTAGATTGACAGTAGGCATAGTGTAGGTTTTTTTGAGGGAGAAGTGGAAATGTATGTGATTTTACTGGTTCTAAATGTTTTATTTAAAGAGTTATAGGTGATATATTCAACTTTGTAAAAATCTTAATAGCATGACGAATATGAAAATCAGCCAAATTATGCCATCCATAGCTATTCATCTGTGAAATATAGCTGTAAACCATGGTGTAAGATATGAAACAATGCAAACTGCTAAACTATTGGAAAGATGTACAGTACTATAATAGATAGACAGGGGGCGCTTCTACACAGCATACATTTCGACACAAGTTTATTCCTTGTCACACTCTACAGGGCAGACAGTACTAACTATTAGATTTGTCCATAGGAACACATGCTTAAATACACTATTAGAAGTCCTCATGAAAGTACTTGCCCATACTTCAATCTCAAAAATTTTTCTGCACCAGGTAGCCACAATGATCTGATTCCCAAAAATAGAAAGGAAACAGGGGGTCGACCACCTCAAATTCCCGCCACAGCTGATGATAGTAACAAAACCTCAACTTTGACCTAATTTTCCATGGTATCCATCCGCCTGGCCAGACAAAACCTAACCACTCACATCTCTCACTACGCCCACTAAACTGGTGAAATAAACAAAACTTGACCAATGTAGGAAAGTTTAGACACTACCTGTGCCTTCCAGCCCAAAAATCTCCAAAATGGACCAAAATTTTCAAGAGAAAAAAGGATTTTCAAAGGTATTAACTAGGCACTACAATCGTGTTCCCATTTTTTGGCCTCTACTGCGCAGTGCAAATGTGGTGTCTGCCCTACAGGTGCCAGCAATGGAGGATTACACCATGGATGGAAGGACGTACCGCTACTCAACTTGGGACCCCCTGTACCCTTTTGGCTTTGGCCTGTCCTACGCACAGTTTATGTACGACTATCTACACGACCACGTGCTGCCAACAACCATCCAGCCATGTGACAACGTCACTGCCGTGGTTCGAGTGACCAACATTGGGAATGTCACTGGAGATGAGGTAAATATGTTTGGTTGAGGCCAAAAACCATGCCCGTAGCTATTCTGAACCCCCCCACAAGGCTCAAAGGTCCACTTTTTGGTCCACGTTTTATTCAAAGGTCCAAAATTTTTCTTTACATGGAAAGATTTGTATCACCAGTGGGGCTGGAATTGTATAAAAACTGCAAACTTTGTCATTAAATAAAAAAGTTATCTCTGATTTTTTCTTTGAAATCCTCTCAAAAAGGCAGGAAATGCCATCTCAGAAGGTTCATTTTTCAAAATTTCCCGGGGGAACATGCCCCCAGACCCCCCTAAAAACCTCGCGGCTACGGCGCTCGCTGGTCCCTCACACACTGGGAAAAACCCCCCCAATTCAAAATCCTGGCTACGGGCATGAAAACGTCAAGTAGACAAACCCTCAAAACCATGCCCTCCGTGTTCTTTGCAATCATTATTGGTAACATACTGAAAAGTATTCTCATATCGATGTTGTATGTAACTGACAGTGTTTGTTTGCAGGTTGTGCAGTTTTACCTGGAGTGGGGTAGCAGCTCTCTCCCCGTGCCCATCCGACAACTCATCAACTTCACCCGAGTCACGCTCCTGCCCAACCAGCAGAGGTTCATTAACGTCACCATCACGCCACGAGAGATGGCGGTCTACACCGACCAATGGGTGGTGCCGGCCGTGGGGATGACCGTGTTCGCGGGCGGTCAGCAGCCGCTACAGAACACTGCCATCGTGTCCAACGTGGCGTACGGAACGTTCACCATCACTGGGAAGGATACTCCTCTCAAGAACTGTGGCCACGTCGGACCATAGCAGTGTTCTAGCGAGTCTGATTTTTTTTTCCGTCATCTCAATTTTGTTTGACGTAATATTATGTTGAGTGCCCAACACAACAATCCTAGGGGTCCGGGGGCATACTCTTGGAAATTTTTAAATCTCAACCTTCTGAAATGCTATTTCCTGTATTTTGAGGGGGAAATTTTGCTGGTAGACTAAGCTTAGTTTAATGATATCTCTTTCTATAGTTATACATGCCGATTTTTGTATTTAAAAAATGACGGATTTAGCAAAATGTCTGCCATGAGCGGCAAAATTCCCTCAAATGATGGAAAGACAGACCCTGGCTACAAACAACACTGACTCAGAGTAACATTTTTCTTTGTAATCAATGGTTCCAACATACCCAAAGAAAGAGATGTTTAATGTTCATAGGACTTTGATATAAATTGTGAATCAGATCTAGTGTTAAGTATTGATTACAAAATAATATCTACGAGTATGATCAGGGCATTGTAATTTCAGAGAGGATTTTGGAAATAAAAAGGGCAGGCCCCTGATCCTTAATCCATTGTTACAGGTACATAATATAAAATTCCTTCAGGATGATATGTATTTTAAAATGGAAGCAAATATAGTAGATACTAGAGTACTACTCACTAAAGTAGTTTTTCATTAAATGAATGTATAAGAAAGGATAAAAACATTTAAGCCACTATGCAAAACTTCTTGCCACTATGCAATTTTTTAAATAATTGTAGCTTTTGTACATGAATACTGACAGGATTTTTATGGTTGCATTTATTTGCAGATACATTTGCCTAATTATGGCTGTAATCATTGAAAATGACTGTTTTCACATGAATGTTAAGAATGAATAATTATGATGACAGAATAAGAAATTGAGATTTACACATACATAGAGTTCTGTGTTGTTTTTTGGCACATCATGTGCTGAAACTGGTGGTGAAATATCCTCTATGATTTAGTAGTAGAAAAGCCAGCATAGTGTTCCATCAACAAAACAGTATCACTATGTAGGGCTGTAAAACTGTTCAGAAGCCACTGACATTATTTCTTCTACATACTTCATTAGGTGGTAACAGTCAATGCAGCAAATAAAAATCCTCATACACCTACTATAAACCCAGTACATGGACCAGTGCAGGTAGACATCAGAAATACATGTACAATGTACCTGCACAGCCACAGCCCCAATTTTACCTTCACTAAGCTGCATATACCCAGTACATGGACCAGTACAATTATATGTGGAGGTAGACATCAGAAATACCTGCACAGCTCCAATTTTACCTGTACCAACCTGCATATACCCAGTACATCAATGGACCAGTGCAGGTTAGGTGCAGGTTGACATCAGAAATACATTGTACCTGCACAGCTCCAATTTTACCTGCACTAACCTGCATATACCCAGAACATGGACCAGTGCAGGTAAGGTGCAAGTAGACATCAGAAATACCTGCACAGCTCCAATTTTACCCGCACTAACCTGTATATACCCAGTACATGGACCAGTGCAGGTTAGGTGCAGGTAGACATCAGAAATACCTGCACAGCTCCAATTTTACATGGACCAGTGCAGGTTAGGTGCAGGTTGACATCAGAAATACCTGCACAGCTCCAATTTTACATGGACCAGTGCAGGTAGACATCAGAAATACCTGCACAGCTCCAATTTTACATGGACCAGTGCAGGTAGACATCAGAAATACCTGCACAGCTCCAATTTTACATAGACCAGTGCAGGTAGACATCAGAAATACCTGCACAGCTCCAACTTTACATACAGTAAGGTGCATATTCCAAGCCCTGCTATGTGTAAACTGACCTACTCCTGTCATCAATTCGAAGTACAACACTTTTCTCATGCTTCTCCTATACATAGGCAGCAATGAAAGCTGATACAGTCATTTAGATCCTACGAGCCTTTCGCGGCCGAGGTCCCGTGGCGGAGAATCGCGTATCGTCTGTGATGGACACGATATTCAAACCTCCCATCTGCACTCCCTTTACGATTGGCTGGACAAAATACATCCAAGTTAAAGACGTGAAACAGTAGGGTTTGAGTGCGACCAACTGACCAGTCCAACTGGTCTGGACCTTTTAGCCTTGCAGTTAGTGTGTTGGATTTGAGAGTTAGCGGCCCGGGTGCGGGTTCGAATCCCTATGGTCTGGCGGTTAGGATTTGGCGCCAAGACTAGGGTTTGATACCCGGTGTTGGAACCACTGAAACACAAAGGGGCGAGTAGCTACAGCCTCCTGGCTCCCGGAATTCAAATCCTTGCCACCAGCTCACAATCCAACACACCAACCACAAGGCCAAAAAGTCCAGGCCATTTCGACTGGTCAGTTGGTGACACTCGAACCCCCTGTTAGCGTTGCAGACATAAAACAGATCAATTAAGAAGATATCAAAAGTAGCAGCATCATACCTATTACATAGTTCGTGGATACATTTTTTACAACAGAAATTACATTGAAAATTTTCTGATACGTACCTGCCTGCCTGGTCCAATTCCACGTAGCACCAGTCTCACATTGGTGATCCCGAGGTCAAGTGCTTTCTGAAAGATGGCAAAAATCTTTTCACACTCATGTCTGGTATAGGCAGACCTATAATCACTAGCAGGGGCTCAAAATACTTCTGTTCTGCATACCACACTGGTACAGGTAACATTGAATTTTACCTGCACCACTCAGGCTTTGAGAAGTATCAGAAATACCAGCACAGCCCCAATTTTACCTACAATAAGGTACATCTGTACCCAGTATTTCAAGCTTCAAAACATTCTTTAAAGCTATTTAGTGTTGATGCCCCTACTGTACTTGGTGACAGCGAGTTCCACTCTACGATGGTTCTAGAAAAAAACAAGTTTTTGAAACCTCATTCCTTGGTTGATAACTGTGGTACTTGAAGGCATGGCTATTTCTTGTTCATTTCTGAGCTGGTATACGGTACTTTGTACTTAGTACTTCCACCAGTTTATTAGTCATTTTGTACATCATGCATAGTCTGGACATTTTTTCAAATCAGTTACACTTACACCAAAGGAAAACCTCAGAGCACTCTACAGATGCACTTTTCACAACACATGTTTTCTTTTTTTTTATTTCAATGTGCAAGCAATACAATACATAGTGGTGATGCACTCAAGCAAAATGCTTATATTCACGTCACCACTAGACATAAAATAAAAATTACATCACGAAACAAAACATGGGAAACGTCCAGGTAACAAGAAAACAGAGTTTAAGTATTAAGATATTATAAATGCTTATTTTCATATTGAAAGATATACTCACAGTTGCGATGGACTGCCCAGTTACCTCTGCAGCTACAGAAGTCCCCTTTTTGGCATTCTTAAACCCTTCCTTTCCCTGAAGAGAGAAAATACCATTGAAATGTCATACTTTTCAATAAAATCAAGATACGACAAAGTTCAAGTTGGTGAATAGTCACTTGGAAAAACCTACTCCTTTTTCAGAATGATGTATTGAAAAATTCAAATGTAAGGTCAAATAAAATAACATAAAAATAAGAAATACTCAATAGTTTCATCAGGTTGTTAAGTCACCAACTAAAAAGACTTTTTTAAAAAACAAGTGTATATATGTGAATACTTTGCGTTGGGGAAGGCATCTATACTAGCGACACCTGTGCTGTGCAATATGAACCAGTCAGAATTGCCCTGAGGAAGGTGACAGACGGTCACCAAAATGTTGGCTGAATAAAACTTGGTTGTGTAAGAAAAGAGTCAATACTGTTGTTTTAAGCATGATATGATAGTAATAGTTTTCAATGTAGCCCTACATCGTCTGCATATTACATTATGTACAATGTAGCTTGACAGAGGGCAATACTGATACTTCTCAAATATTTGCTCCCAACTAATAATAATACTAATAATAAAGTAATATGAAGTTATACTTACACAAGTTGTTTGAGCAAGTATCTTCCCTGTAAAAAATACACAAAGAAGTGTATAGTAAAATGGCACTACTGAAGTAATTAAAAGACCACAGTCCTCATAAACTATCAGTCTTAACAAATAAAATGGTATTGTGCAGATGGTACTTGCTATGTACAGAATATTAGCACATTGGCAGAATGCACTGCACCTGTGCGAAACCCGTAATGTATTGTACATTATATTATAGCACTTCGGTCTCATATAAGGTCGTATTCACGCATATAAGGAAAACATCTCGTCTGTAGTTTCCAAATGTAATGTCAGAAAAGATATCCTATACAACAGGCAAAATTCTAATGCAACGTTGACCAAAAATCCATCAAAAACCGTGAAAATACAGGGTTCTGTGCTGGCGCAGTACGTTCTGCCGACGTGCTCAGAATATTGTGATTGAACCATTTAATGTTTCCTAGCTTTTGATTGGTGCATACTAGTATAGTGACCTCTTATTGACCTTTTGTTTGAAGGTAGATCGATGTCCCCTCATATACTGATATATATGATATAGGCATTCATGATCAATTGAAATAATAATGACACTCGACACAGCCATACCTCCCCATACCAGTGCTCGAAATACTAGTACTCTGCTACATGTACCTCGCACCTGTGCTGTCTGTACAGGTGGCATGTGTGTTGTTCCGCACCTGTGCTGTCTCTACAGGTGGCATGTGTGTTGTTCCTTACCTGTGCTGTCTGTACAGGTGGCAAGTGTGTTGTTCCTCACCTGTGCTGTCTGTACAGGTGGCATGTGTGCTGTTTCTCACCTGTGCTGTCTGTACAGGTGGCATGTGTGTTGTTCCTTACCTGTGCTGTCTCTACAGGTGGCATGTGTGCTGTTTCTCACCTGTGCTGTCTGTACAGGTGGCATGTGTGTTGTTCCGCACCTGTGCTGTCTGTACAGGTGGCATGTGTGTTGTTCCAGTTGGCAAACACGTGGATCACAGGCAGCTGACTGTAGGGGATCCCATCAAACTCCTGACCATACCCGGGCAGGCATGAGTTGTACATCTCCCTGAAATAAAATATGGGAACTGTTCCAACATACCACACTACATTCATTTCTTCTCTTCACAATCTAAAGTTATCATTCTCTACTAGTATTCATCCAACTTTGAATTAAAATAGGTTTGGGTACCAGTTCAGCTGACTCAGAGAATTGAATACAAAAATCCAGAAAAAAATCTTTTTTGTGACTCATAACATTTAAGCACAAAATTTTTCCTCAGACATGAAGGCAAAATTTCAACAGATCTAATGATGGACAGAAGGGCGCTGGCTAGAACACTGGTACTGTTTCCTCACTTAGGCCATGTTGATTTGATTATATGGATGACATCCTCTGGGAACCCCAAAACTGATGCGAGCGTGTGAATAAAAAAAGTTTGGCAAAATAAAGTTTCCTTCATTATGAAATCTACGTGGTCATGAAGGTTGAACAAATGACTAAATACACAGTAATATTTTATTGGCATGGTGAATGGTGAACTCTTCATTCTCAATCTCATTCCTTCACATTTTCTTCCTGTCCTTTGGAATGGATTTTGGCATTCTGCATGACATAAGTATCATTTTCCAATATTTTTTTTTCAATCATGAATGTACAGCATATAGTTGCTCATTTTGCAGCTACTTTGTACGATTTACAGTATGGCCGAAACCTTTTTTTTTTTTTTGGAAACGGATGAAAATTCATGCGTGCTTGGATGTCATCCATATAATCAAATCAACTTGGCCTGATGGACAGAAAAGCGCTGGCTAGAACACTGGTACTGTTTCCTAACTTACATCCACTTCTGAATCCTTGCAATGTCTTCATCGACACTCCCTGTGTCTTCCTCTTGTGCCTCTCCTTCAGTAGTCTCCTCCTGTTTCTGCTCTGTAGTTTTTGTGGGTTCCTCCCGATCTTTTTCTGACCATCTGGTAGCTGTTGTACAGAGAGTCTGTACATGTGGTGACAGTAGTGCTGGGTGAACTGGTTTCTGTCTGCAGTTGACTGTAGAGTTCCTTACATTGTTACATCTGACCAGGAGTCTTCTGGTGGAGGCTAACGACAGGCAACGGACTCGAAGAAGGAGGGTTTCTGTCAAAAATTAATGACAAATGTAAATATAATATATGCAGACTGTTAAACTTATAAGAAATCCAATGCATTTCAGGTCAGCAAAACAAAAAATATTCTGCATAGCATTAGGGAAATCTGTCGGAATACTGACATTTCTTAGTACATTCTCCTTGTCATTTCGTACTTGAAGCATTTGACGTGGCCCAAAAAGAGGCATCTCTTTATTTTTTGGTACCACCCATAAATAGCTAGAACCAGCCTATGATACAAAACAAGCAACTGTTTCCTGTAAGTGATATCACTGCTTTGCTTGACAGATATCAGTATGCTATGAGATAGGGTTGATTCAACTTACATTAAAAGAATGACCAGAAAATTGACTTTATAAGACACCTTAAGAGTGTGTTTAAAGCTAGTAACCGTAACACAGATGCCATGTTTGTTTACATTTTGGTATTTTGTGGTGGTGCCGCAAACTGAGTGCACCTCGTGTGGGCTGTTAAACTTATAGTGCCAACCATACATGTAAGAAATGTGAAATAACTGCACAAATATGTTGAAATTAACGTTACACTCACACAGAGAATTTTTCACAATATTCCAAATTATCTTTGGTGCGAAAAGTTACATAATGCAGAAGTTATTTAGGTTCCTTGGTAAATAACGTGCATATAAGATCTGTGAATGCATAAGGTGAAGAAAATCTGTGTCAAGTTACGATAAATTTTTATTTGACAGTGCGTGTGCCGCCCTCCCCCAAATACAAAGGAAAATGCTGGCGACGCTGAAATTAGATGACTTATGATGCCTTCGATATCATCAAAACTTACTGAAAACCTTCTTCTAATTATATTTTCTAGCGTACTCTAATAGAATACGTCTAGAGGGTGTCTGGGAAAGAAAATGTTTGTAGTTCACGTCAGTTTGACTTACCTATGGGCGCAGCCATCTTGTTTTATCCTCACCGAGAGCAGAAAAATGTAAATAAAGTACAAACCTCTAAAAAAAGCGACAAAATTGCATACTAAGGGTCAATATTTGTCACACAAATCAGACATATTTTATTTCATTAACATTTTTCAATATATAGTAGTGTATGCACGCGTAAGGCTAAATATTTCCTATTCTTTCTGTTCAGATTTGTTTTGATGCCATCTTTGCGCGCGAAAATTTGAACCATGCAGATGACGAAGAGAGGGAAGATTGGAGAGAGTGGTATTTTTATCATGGGAAATTTGTTTCTCTGGTGTCATTGTGTTTACACACTAGGAGAATTGAGACTGTTGGAGATCCAAGGTAATGTGCACTTTGTAACCATACGGAGTGATCTACGTTACAACAAGGTTTAATGTCTTTTTATCTTGAATTTATAGAATTTGCATGGGGGAGGGGGGTCGAACACAGAAAAGTTTCTGTATTGACAGATTGACGTGATTTTACGTGAGCACATGGGCAATGCAGTGTACATGTAGGGCTGCAAATGTGGAATGGCGTTTGTGTTTATTGTAAACAAGATACACAAATGTAACGTTAGATCAAGGATTTTAACTCCATGGTTAGATCAATAAATTGTTGCTGCAATTAAAGATAAAACTATCGAACTATTAACGTTATATGGTTGGATTAGTTAAATAATTTCGAGATGTAGAATGTTTTGTTCCATTGAAGATTTCTCCTCACCTATGTAATTTTTATTGCCCGGGTTGCAAATTTGGTCACAGCAATGGATTGACACCACACATTTTTATTTGATATTAATATAGATGGGAAAAAAGATGCCCCATGCAATATTTTACACCACACACATATGTAGTTGCCATATCTTCTTCTTCTTCGTTACCCCCACATAACCCCGCGAGGGGTGCCGTTAGGGGGGGGGAGGAGGTCAAGGCTAAGGCGGGCAGGCCGCCAGCCCGGCCCGGAATGACTCAACATTGGGAGCCATGACTACCGGGCCGGGTAAGGAGTTCCACTGTGGAATGGTACGGGGAAAAAAAGAAAATCTGTATGTGTCAGTGCGTGCGTTAATGGGCCGATATTTAAGAGAATGGCTCCCTCGGGTACGCCCCTGTGTGGGCAGCAAAAAACTGTCAATTTGGGTGTTAATTGCTACGGTGTTATGAACTATTTTGAAAAATGTTGTGAGGCGGGCGCTCCTCCTCCTTTCAGAGAGAAGAGGCCATTGCAGGTCGTTGAGCATTAGTGTCACACTGCTAGTTCGCCTGTAGTCATTGAGGGTCACCCGGGCGGCCCTGCGCTGGACAGCCTCCACCGCCTGTATCCCTTTGATGGTATGCGGGTCCCAGACGGTGGCACTATATTCCAAGTGAGGCCGTACCAGCGCTTTATAGCAAGTGGCCTTGACCCTAGATGGACAATGGGTCAAGTTGCGCCGAATGACCCCCAGAACTCTACCGGCTTTACTAGTGGTGTGTTTGATATGGGTGTCCCACCGCAAATCATCGGACAGATGTACTCCGAGATAGGGGTGGGATTTGACACTGGTAAGGATGAGCTTGTCGTTGTTTTAATTGATATCTTAAACAAAGATGTGCCCATAGCGACAATCAAAAGTTATATTGTTCTAAACCAAATCTGACCATTGCCTAATTAGTTACCAGTATTGCTACCAATGATGATGATTGCATTTAAGTGGTTCAACAGTCTTGTGATGGGTTGAATTTGATTATCTACTTTGCTTGCACAGATGATGGACAATTGTACAGTATATGTATATTGTATATCAGACCATTCAGGGCTTTAAATACTGGGTGTATATGCACCTTAGTGCAGGTAAAATTGGAACTGTGCAGGTATTTCTGATGTCTACCTGCACTTAACTTGCACCGGTACCTTGGTCCATGTAACGTTACATAAACTAGTAGGTGTCTGTGGATTTTTATCTGTGGTGCTTGCATTGACTGTTGTAACATATGAAGTATAATTACTATAAAGAAATAACAGTTTTAAACTTTTTGAACATACTTCTCAAAGTTTTAGTGTTGCAGGTAAAATTTTTCTGGTGCAGGTAATTTTCATTGTTACCTGGACCAGTGAAAAAAAGTATTTCGAGTCCTGTATAACCCTACATGTACTAGTATATACAGTCCGTCTTCAATGTTAAGGAGTCAACCATTGAAACCACTGCCTAACAAGGACAGAGGGTTATTAGAACATGTAACTTGTTACCTTTAGATGATATGAGCAATTAAAAATTTAATGATTATTTCATTGATGTGTTTTACTTTTAGTAATATGTGTGGATGTTTGTGTGGATGTGTGCAGTACATGTACTTAAATGAAAGAGTTCCAGTCTGTTACAGTGTTATTCTATTAATGTCCCCCTAGCCTTTCCACCACCATAAACAGTAATTCAACGTCTCACCAAATTGGTCAAATTATGATAAACCCAACCTCATTTGTTTCACTTTGTTTCTTGATGAATTGCGGAAAAAAAAATTTCTGCAAGTCCATGGAGGGCTATCCACAGGAGGGGTACGGGACTTGAACCATTCTGCCATGAAATTAAATGATTTAATTGGCCTTGTCTCATTCTGTGGATGATATACAGCTGTGGAGTACAGGGGGTCTCTATGCCACAGACAATATCGTCCCGCGAGGACACTAAATTCCACCCTTAATATGCATTTGTGAGGAGGTTTAATCTAGTAGTGGCTTTTGTAATGCTCCAATATTGGCATTTCATTTGCAAATTATGACCTTCTAATGTTTGGTGCAACTCCCTAGGAGCTTGGCTTGCCATTTCTCCAGAATGCTTGCATTGGAGAGATAAGCTATGGTTATACTATGAAAGCCCTGAGTTTTTCCCTGCCAAATAATTAAAATGAAAACACTTCCAGAAGGGGAACTCAATTTTGCTAGACCCCGTCTGTGGTGAGTAGCTTTTAATTAAGAGCCGCTGATTTGGGCATGCGGCTCCCTCCCCGCTGACAGAGAGTTTGCGGTGACGTGCGGTGTACGTTAATGTTTGAAGGGGTGGCGTTGACTTGGGGAGCGGAGTTAATCGGGTAGAATTCCGATTGTTCCATGTTTTAGTGAGGGCATGTTTGGTGGCAAGTCTATAACACAGCCAACAGTAGGCTCACTGGGCTGCGCCCTGCTTAAGGGTGACAGCAGGCTTAAAAACCACCAAGACCTCCTGCCCTCAATTACTTCCAACTTTAAAAAAAAAGTGCCGACTCACGGCCCTTGGAAGAAAACCTGCCTCCTGTCAGAACTCGAGTTCAAAAGTTTGCTGACTTTTCAGATGAGGATGATCTAGTCAGTACATGTAACCGGTAATGGCCTCTGTAAAAATTCATACTCTGTGAACATGTATGGGCAGAGAGAGAGAGTGTCCATGCCTAATGTAATATCTCCACGTACAGAATAAGTCCATCTAACTGATTACCAACCAGGATGGCCTCTCCTATGTGCTAACATAGGTCAAGCCTATCCTGGCATGACCGAGTTAAACCTAATACAGAACCCCCCTACTGGGATGAACACTAGCCTTCCGAGCCGTTCCTATTAAAGCCAATATTTATTTTAAGGTACTGTGCACCCTGGAGAAGTCCCACAGGGGTGTGGCCAGCCCTGTTCATCATCAGAACACCCTGCCAAGGTAGGAAACACAATTGATTGGTGGGTTGGAAGGAATGTGTTTTACTCAAGCTGTTGCCATCTGTTTCAATGGGAGAAAAAACACCATTCATTTTAAGTGATTTTGCTTGGAAGTTAAATGTTTGGGATGCAGGTTTTATGATTGTTTAACAGTGTCAGTTCAAGTTTCTATATTGGTTTATTGCAGTTTTGCTGTGAAACCATTACTTGCACAAGGTTTCTGTGTAAGACACCAAAGTTCTAAAATAAACTACATGTCCCGCCTCGGCCAGCACGTGAGCATGATACCTTAAAGTTTACAGGTATCCTGGCTTACGGCTCAGACTTCTAAAATAAACAGCTGGTCATGACGGCAACCTGAAATATTGATGGACAATCCTAAGCTTTTGGCTCAGGCCACACCAATTTAATTTCTTGGTAAACTGATTCGCCCGCTTCATTTTTTTCTGATTTGCAAATAAAAATAAAAATTCAGAATCAACTGCAAAATGCTCATATTTTGCCCTGAACAGCTGAAAACAGTCCTTTTCATCCTAGCTGTTACAGTTATTCCTTCTTTCAATGCAATGGTATCATTAAAAGTTCAAAATCCATTGTTTAAATTTTGAACCAGCCTGGTGTGTTGACTTCATGGCTCTTTTGTACCATTTTGGGCCATAATAGGATGCCTAGGCCTGTTTTTTATTTTTTTCGCCCGCCCGCTCCATTATTTTCCTAGAAAAATCCGTTAACCAAGAAATTAAATTGGTCTGGCCTTAGGTTGCTGGTATTTCAACCTTGTACAATGATTGCTATACAGTTGCATGCCATAAATACAAAATAATTGTAAACTAAACTCCACATTTTCTAGTATTATATAATTATATTATTCTCACTATGTATGTGTTATTGAATGTTGGCAATATATGAATATATGTTAGTCCTGTGATTCTACAGTGAAATTAGTTATTGAGAAGTTATTATGTACACATGTAAGTTGTAACTTAGTTTAGCTACCATATAACAGCAATGTTATGTCCATTGAAAAAGATGAAAAGGTTAGTAGTTCCGTACTGTTAATGTAATTCTTTAGCCATCAGTTGGAGGTGAACATGGCTATATTGTTAAAAGATTTCAATATTCTACTGTTATTAAGTATATGTAACGTGCTCATGTGCACTCATTAATATGTAGTGAAAGTAATTCTGACCCTGTCATCATCATTTTTTTTCAATGCAGGCAAATGTTGTGGGCGTGTCCCAATGGTTCACATTGATTGATGAGATTGCTTTTCTGGAAAAACAACATTGTAATTAATGGTGCTGAGCAAGGTTATGACTTTGAGAAAATATTTGTCTTTCCTCACAACAGACATTAGGGTCATACGCTTTGGTAATGACAATATCATCCAGATGCTTGTACGATTATGGAGTTATGACTTTGTTTAAGAACATTTTATAGAGTCAGTAATGTCAACTTCCATAACAGCTTAGGCCACGCCAATTTAATTTGTTGTTTCTTGGATTTTTTTTCAGAAGCGACAGGGCAATATAAAAAAAAAAGGCTATTAGGCACCCCATGAAGACTGGAAATGTTACAGTATAACTATAAGCCATGAAGTCAACATACCAGGCTGGTTTATAATTAAAACAATAGATTTTGAACTTTTAATGAAACAAAGTTGCATTGTTACATCAAAAAAGAAAAGAAGAAAAAGGAAAGGAAGAAAAGGACTTTCTTCAAACATTGGGGCCAAAATATGTCTTCCATGGAGCATTTTGCAGTTGATTCAGAACCTAAAATCTTTTTTTTTTTTTGCAAATCAGAAAAAAATGGACAGGGTGAATCCGAGAAGCAAGAAATTAAATTGGTATGGCCTCACCTCTACAAAGAAATTGTGTGGCACTGTGTGATGTAACGGTTTGCATGTTTGGGCCAGAACCAGAGGTACTGGGTTCAATTCCCCTGACATGCCCCAGCGTTGTGCCCCTGGGAAAGGCTGACTTTTTACACAACGTTTTAGCCTTGTTCATGACTTGTAGAACTCAACCTTTGTTTCTGAATCAGTACCCTCTGTACATGTGGAGGGACTAAAGGAAACTGCCAACTACAGAAGGGATTTATACCAGACTAACAGTAAGTAACACTCTAATTTCGAGTGATGGACATAAGTGATGAAGAATGGTGCTGACATGGAGGAGGAGGAGGGGATATTGGTGCAGGATCAAGAATAGACAGCTTGGAGACTAGAGAGGTCTTCCATAACGTGACTGCTATTTTTGGTAGTAAGGAAATTTTTCTCTGGACAAGTTTGTAACTGGAGAAAGATTGTAGGATGTTATAGTAATTGTGTCATGAGAGTTCACATTGATTTCAGAGGTTGGATTACCAGTACAGGCTGCGACTGCAATTTGTCTTAACTGAATGTCATATACTAATAATCTGAAAGTACTTCATCATTAGATAATAGATAATACAGTATATATGAAGACCAAGATGGTTTTTTTTACATGTTTTATCATTGTCATCAACTTTGTTTTGTTAACGTCAGGTGCCCTGAGCTATGTATCTAGTCTTGACTTCTTGACCTTTGACGTTTCACCCAGCACAAGAGGCTGTAAACAAGACGCGATGACACCAAAGACAACAGGGAAATGGCTTCTCAACTCTTCCCCACAACCTGCGAGGATTAGAGGCATAACAGGTGGTATGAAGTAAGGAGGCTTTAAGGTTCTGTAAGTGCTCTCTGGTATCCTGTTCCTTCTGTTGTTCTCTTAAATCCTACCTGCAGCTACACATTAAAGTGAGCCCACCTTAATCCACGACTTGGAAAGATCAAGAGATGTCTGCCCAAGATTACCATCCTTGTTTACACACGCTTAAATGGTATACGAGTCGCTATAAATTTTAGCTTGGATGCCAGACCCAGGCCCAATGGCAATCGTTATTATAGTGTGGATCAGGGCCTAACTGAGGGGGCTCAGTGAGTATAATTTCCTTGGGGGCATGTTGGCCCTGGAGCCGAGGAACTGTCCTGTGTAGGCCCTGGAAACAGTCTGGCATCCAGGCTATATATTTTTCTACGTCACATACATGTAGGATCGCATAAAAATAGTTTCAGTTAAAAAGGGGCCATGCAATGATTGCGAATTGTTTGCAGACTGGTATTCAAAATATATTAAATTTACCTTTTTTTTTAGGAGAATTACAACTGGAGTTGAGTATGTCTGATTAATTTTTTTTTGCTTTTCCAGATACAAGACAGAACAAGAAAAAAATGAAAAAGAGCAGAGAGAAAGGCTTGGAGAGAAGCTTAAGAATTAAGGCATCTTCTGCAGGTTTTTTTTTCTGACGTTTGGTTACTTTATTTGTCATGATTAGCCCTGCCCGAGGAGTGACACTGAAGGGAGCTGACAGCCACGTGTGATGGAAACAAAGCAAGACAAATGCCTCCCGACCAACCCCTCCGCCATGTGACACATTAAGATTCCTCGCACAACGTGTTGAACCCCCCGGGCAGGGCTCGAAATACTGGGTACATGTCTCCTGTGCAGGCCCCGCAGTGATGGGGAAGAGTTTTTAACGCGTTATTTTAATATAGCCAGCCATCCTACCGAGAGAAGGTTCCATTCCTATGTAGGATGGCCGGCTATATCAAAATAATGCGTTAAAAACTCTTCCCCACCACCACGGGGCCTGCACAGGAGGCTAGTGCATGTGCACCTTAGTGCACCCAATATTGGAGCTGTGCGCCCAATTTTTTTCTGCGGGTGCACTGGTGCACCCAAATATTTTTGTTGGTATTTTTGTACATATTTTAAATGATAGTATGCAGGATATTCTTGGCATCTAAGCGTCAGAAAAATAATAAAATCTTTTTGTTGTAGTTCTTGTGTAAGATTTTGAAGTAAGCTCCCATTTCAGATTCAAACTTAGAAGAAGGGCAGTAAGATCCGTAATTATGTTTTGTTTTATATGATGCACCCAAAAAAATTTTGTGCACCTAATTTTTTAGGTTGGGTGCACCAGTGCACCTATTCCCCAAAATGAATTTCGAGCCCTGCCCGGGCGAACAATAGCCGGTATCACCCCAATTTTCAACCGCTCCGAGGGACAATTTACGCCGGTGGCTGCGACTCTTCTCCCGCACCGCAGGTATAAAACAATGCAGAGACCACACAAGGTGGAAAACGTTGTCACCTTACGTTTTGTTCACGGTCGGCGAGCGGCAGTTTTGATGTCAGCGTAGAAGGTGAACCTTTGTCCGGGTAATTATAGGGTAGGAATCGTCAAGCGTTGGACTTGTTGACTTTTCTTTGTGAATAATCCTCTCATGTTGACTTAGCCCCTGTACAATACTGCGACTTAGGAAGGCTTAGTCTTGTAAATCAACTTGAAGTGGATCACGTAAGATCAACTTCTTAGAACATCATGAAACCTTGTTTTATGTTATGCTAGAGTCACAACAATTCGATACTTCAGTTGTTGCTTTCTGAGCCATTTGCATATTTTCCAAAATAAGGCCACACCAATTTAATTTGTTGGTTAACGGATTCGCCGCTTCATTTTTTTCAGATTTGCAAATAAAAATAAAAATCCAGAATCAACTGCAAAATGCTCATATTTTGCCCTGAATAGTTGAAAACAGACCTTTTCATCCTAGTTGTTACAGTTATTCCATCTTTCAATGCAATGGTATCATTAAAAGTTCAAAATTCATTGTTTAAATTTTGAACCAGCCTGGTGTGTTGACTTCATGGCTCCTATCGTACCATTTTGGGCCATAATACGATGCCTAGGCCTGTTTTTATTTTTATTTATTTTTCGCCCGCCCGCTCCATTATTTTTCTAGAAAAATCCGTTAACCAAGAAATTAAATTGGTGTGGCCTAATGCATCCATAAATACTTGAGTGCTTAGAAATTAATCAGAAATTAGTGATACATAGTTTGACCTTATGTGCATTGCCCATACTTTGTTGCAGTTAGATTGTGTAAAAATTTAAAATCATGTATGTTCGATAAAGCAAAGAGAGATTCACCACTATGTAATCTAAAGTTCAAGGTTTCAGAATTTTCTAAACTGCTTGCTTCATTTCATGGACTGGAAAAATGAGAATTGGAATTAAATTTGGTCTGTGGTTTCACCTTAACTTATTAAACAGAAGGTTGGTTTTCATACATATTTAGAATCATACACTGTCATCCAATGCAATGTCAGGATGGCAAAACTATAGCTTTTTTTGCTATTTTCAGACAAAAAAAGTACATTTCTGTGCCCAAATGTTACAACCAAATGACTTGAAACTTGGTACAGTGGATCCTTGGAGATATGCCCAAAGAACGTCATTAATTATTTTGACATACTGTGCATTGTATTTTGAAATAGTCATGATTTTGAACTTTTTGGTTATTTTTATACCAGAAATGTATATTTTACCTCCTATGCCCTGGTATTAAAAACAGATGAAATTTGGCATGCAGGTGCCTAGGACACGTGCCCACTGGACTTTATTCACACTTTTGCCAAACACTTATTGTTGTTCATTTTGGTATGGGGAGGAAGATGGAGTGAAATATACTGTATTCGCTCACAAGCAAATGTTGGCCCTTTCTTTTTCTAGTTGCTACAGTTTTTCCATATATTAATGCAGTGATTTGGTTAAAAGTTCATAATTCATGCTTGGTATACATGACTTCATGGCAATTACATTTGGGGCTATCATAGGATGCCTATATATGTCTCTTTTCTTGCCCCGTTGTTCCAGATTTCTTCTGAAAAAAAAATGAGAACCAACAAATTAAATTGCTGTGGCCTAGTTGAAGAAAACACAGTTAAACAGTGATGACACATATAACTCAGGACAAATTAGCTGGAACTGTGACGTGTGAAGCCACTACACCTGCATGTGGCGTGTGACATTAAGTGGCACCTCTCCATGTAACGTCTGCACGACACATTTTGCCGCCTGAGCGCAAACACTGTAATCTCACTTGTCATCATGTCGTCTCCTCAATTACAACATTTAATCAGTTGTACTTACCACAAGACAATCCCAGGTGGCCACTGATACCTGTTTAGGCTAAACGTTTTTATTTGACGGGCAACAAAACTGTCGTTGTGGCCACCTTAATGCTGTTGTGGGACACTTGAAAACCTACGTTCCCATATCATTTATTCATGTTACTTCTAGCAATTAGGCAGGGCGAGCCGTTGGCCGCTGTACGTGGCATTACACTCCGACAATGCAGAGGAAACCATCTCAGGCTTTTAGCACCCAGACTTCCTGTGGAAGCATTCTGCCTAATTTCACCATGTAAAGCTCAATTGTCACACATTCGGAACCTTCCCCCAAAACACCAACCAACCAAAGTTGGCTGAACTTTCAAATTGGTAGCTGTGTCTCAACAGATTTAGGCCACGCCTACACTTCGTTATGAATCAAATCAAATTTGAGTTAACTTTGAGTCAAATTTGACTCCCAAGGCTCGACGTACTTCCGAACACCAGCCAACCATGGCTGTACCCGGGCTGTCAATGCCCACTGCTTTAAACATTTTGAAACATTAAGCTGGCACAGTCAAACAGTAGCCGACCTCAGACTGAACAACAGCCGATTCAGCCGACAAACTCATACTAGTAACCATGGTTGGGGGGAGTTCAGTTAGTGTTTGGAAGGCCATATTCAGCTATGTGTGACAGGAATATGAAAAAATCTAAACAGCAAGTTTTTACTATGACTATTATGCACATTTCTGAAAAATATTGTGAGTTTTTACTGAAGCACTTAGCTTGAAAATGCTCTTTTCTAAAAATGGGCGTTTCCTCATAACTATTGATGACGTCATTGTGACATCTTGAAAATTTGCATAAATTATCATCTTGCAACAAGACACTTTGTGACAAAAATTCAAAGTCCGTACTTAACTGCAACATGTACTTTTAGAACACCCCAAAAGTCCTCAGGATGGGTTATTTACTTAGTAGTACCTTAAGTGGACCATAGTGGATATAGTAACGTTGATTTGAAACGACTGCACCCTTATCCTTCAGTGATGTTGTTGTATTTTTTATGCTGACTGAGATAATTCTTGGGTAAAACAGTCAACCTTTTCATAAGCTTCTCTGCACCTAGTGGTCAAGCAGTGAGGGTACATGTATTACAAACGAGCAAACAAACACTGAAGTCCCTGGCACACAATCATGCTGACATGCTGACAACACCAGCTGACCAGGTTTGGGAGCATTCTGACCAGATTTACACCACTTCTACCTTTCTGTACGAATCAAAACAAAGTTGAGTTAAATTTGAGTCAAATTTGAGTCAACTTTAAGCCCAAACATGCCCCAAACACTGCTGACTTACTCCTGATTGGTTAGATAGTGTTCTGCTGACTTACAGTCAAATACCAGCCAACCATGGTCAAGCCTCCTGACCAACCCCCAAACGTTTAAACATTTTGAAACATTATTGCCTGGCGCAGCCGAATAATAGGTGAATTTGCCAAACACCAGCCAACTTTTCACCGACCTACAAAATGTACTCCTAACCATGGTTGGGGGACATTGACTAGTGTTCAGGAGGCCAAATTTAAGAATGTGTTACAGGGGCTTTACAAAATCTTAATAGTTTTTTTGCATTTTTTTTCGGCAGAAGAAACTACATGCGTGGCAAGTGAAATCCCTAAAATCATATGCATGTTCTCTA